AGTGAAGGTTCTGGGCCTATATAGTCTTGCAGGTCCTCTGGCCAGTTTATCCCTAGGAATGGGTGTATTGATTTTATTTATTTGTGCACTCTATGCCCGAAACATTTAATCCCCATCCTATTTAATTATTTTTTCTTACTCTCTCCAGTGGGGTGTGACGCATATTTTTTTTTCTTTTCAGGTAGCTTATCCATCGGTCAACAGAAGGTGGTACCTTACTTGCCTGAGGACATTTTCCCTTTTCCCACATCTTTTTGTTACTCGGGTTTGACTGGAAGTTTTGTTTAAATAAATATTTAAAATATTCTCCCATTAGGGTGTTTTTGTCTTTCCATTTAAGTTTCAATCCCACTGAAGATATTTATTTATTGATTTTCTTTACTGTACTCGTTATCATTTGGTGGATGGTGATCATTCCCAATATTCTCGTCTGCTGTGGCATATGTTCTCGCTCCTGCGATAAAATACATGCGAACCGCGAAATATTTGTGCGACTTGTGAAAAGTTTTCTTTCAAACTTTTTATACGAAGTTCCTAAAACATATCGAAGAGTTGGGAAAAAAAGTAATCCGGTATAATTCAAGTGCTAGGACAAAAAGGGATGATATAGTTGACAAACTCGCAAAAGAATATGCTGAACCCATTGGACTTGATCACAAATTATACAACTGGCGAAATAATTGGGCCGAGATGAGAATGTCACGTACTGAGAAGCAAATGCTTAATGACTTCGAATCCTTAGCCCGAATGCGGTTAACGCCATTTTGAAAAGGCAACAAACGGTAAAAATACGTACCTAAATAACAGATCGTTTTGTTAAAGCCACGGTCATAAATTCTAACAAAAATCCATAAGAAAAGTTCAATCAACAATAGATCCGGTAAGGCCGGAGTGGATCCTTTTAAATTTCCAAGCTCTAAAAAAAAAAGCCTCATCGGGCTGCATGTTCCGAAACTTTCCACTTACTTTCAACGTTATGCAAGTTTATTTTAAAAATAACAGAAAATCTATAGTCTCAAGAGATGGCAAAACTTTTTTCCGAAGTCGTCAGTGTAGCATCGTATATTTCATGCCTACAGTTACGTAAATGTATACTGAATATTTAATGCACTTATTTACTATTAAACAATAAACCATGTAGTTTCTATACATTCTGTTAATTAATACATAATATTTTTTATACGTATATGTTTTATGAATTGCCAAACATATCAAACGAGATCTGCTACCGTATACCTACTATAAATATTTTAAGGGTTCAGATATGCAATTCCAATCAAACAATTAAATACTAAACCAGGGCTAACAGTAAAGCATCTAGTGAATGTTTCTAGTGTTTCTAGGATGTTTTACCCCCTTCGGGGATCGATTTGTCGGGGACATTATGTCTGAAGGCGGACTAAAGCTACCCCCTTCGAAGTATTGGAATGACCTGTTTACACGCTTTTGCTACCAAAGACAGGATTAATAAAATTATTTGACATCCGCCGGTTTTTATTAGAGGAGAAAGGATGAAATATATTTCTCCAGAGAGGTTTTCAAAAAGACTAGTAAACTGGGTGTTGCTTTTTTTCTAAATAAGATTTTTTAAACAAGAGATTTTCTTTGTTTATAAACAGACCAGTGGGGTGTGTTGTAGCTGACCTACTGTAGGTTTTCCAACTTTGCGACCTTTAAAAATGCAGATGTATTAACTCTTCGATACTTTTTACAACAAACTTAAAATACCATACCGTCAAAATATTAATAAAAATAATATTTAATTAAATTGATGTATTGGATCTTCTTGAGGTCATTTTAATGACAACAAAATGACCTCAAGAAGATCCAATACATCAGTTTAAACTACGGAGGTCGATCAATATCAACTAGAATTCTTCTTCGAATATTTAATTAATTAATAATTAATCCCGTTCGTGACACTGACTTTTTTTTTATCTCAACCAAGACCTTACATAGAAAGAATAATTAATTGAAAGAAGTAATTTACTCAGTTAATCACTAAAACGTACGTGGACTAATATTACAGTTTATTTATAGCAATACAAATAATACAAATGATTTATGTTCAATAAAAAAGTCAACACAATTAAATCATAGCCTTATTAGCCACGCTTGTTTAGGTTAGTTTGACCAAATATTTTCATCTGGTTATAAAATAAATTATACTTTAATTAGTTTTTCATGTTTTGTCATAATAGCGAGCAGTATTTGTTAAAAAAAATTATAAAGGTTCAGAAAATAACTTAATTTTGGTGGGCGGTATGTTTTGGCCACCTTTTCCCGAAATTTTTCTGGTTTTATATTTTTCTTATGTATATCATTTGTTTGATCAAATATTTAGACTTGAGTTTTTCGTTATTATTTTGATGACCGAAACAATTTTCTTAGGTTTTTTTTACGACAGTTCATCTTTCAACCTTTCTGTTTTCGTTGAGAAACCAATTTCATTAAGTCTATCTATGGCGATTAATCACCAAACCTGAATGTTCATCAGGTTTGGGCATGGAAACAGATTTCATCAAGCGTCTGAATTTTCTAGGCGGCCGTGGGACACATGAAACGACATCGGTTTTAATCAAAAACATTCCGCCCACCAAACCTAAATTTTTGAATCATCACAATAAATTCATTTAAATTTATAAGGTTTAAATACCATATCTGGGAAACACGTGCACTTGCTTTTTGTAAAATATTTCAACGACCACCAAATCGAGTCATCTCATGTGCTAATCAGGGGGGGGGGTTCAGAAAAGGAAATTGGCTTAAAAATACATAAATGAGAACCTTTAGACGTGGAAGTAGAGTTCTCGCTACCTCAAGTTTCACTCCAAATTTTTAAACCTTACTGCTCAAGCCCCCTACACTACTTCCCATCCCAAGAACCCTCCACTTCGCCTCAAACGGCCTTGGCACTGAGACTCCTCGCCTAAACCCGATAACAAACTGAGTGCCAGTATTGGCACGTGCCTTCCTGGTACGGTACTGGCCGAGTGTTTTGTTTTCATCCAGATTTTATAGCATTAAAGCAATTTGTAATGTGTATAATTCAAGTTCAGGAAACAAATAAATATTTTGAATTTATTTTATTGAATCTGGATGAATTTGAATGGAGATTTACTTTCGTATTTACAATCAAATAAATTTATGTAGGGCAAAAATTATTCGACCTAATCGTTTTTCTTTTTCAAACATGTTTGTAGAATTTGTTAAAAAAAACTGTCAACGTGTACATCCCAGGTTGCGAGTGAATAAATATTTGAAGGGAAATGGTTTAATTTTTATTCGAAGGAAGTGATCACATAATCGCATAGAGTCAGCAGTCGGCCGAATTAAAAGTCCTACGTCACGAATTCGTCTTAATGAAATAAACATTCCAGCTGTTGAAACGAAAGGGGGCCACTTTCAGAAGGCGAACAGCCACATTTGAATTGAGGAACGAAGAAAAAAATTATAAAAAATATCTGTTACTAACAAACAACTTCATTTTAAAAAAGAAAAAGAAAACTACATCTATCGGTTTGCAGGAAAGACCCGATTGATCACCAAACCGAGAACATATATTTTATCCAAAAATTAATTTCCGCCCTGAAATAAATCGTGAACAGACCCAATTAACACGCTTTGGAAGGTGGATCAAAAAAATAAACCACCAACGTCCAACTTTCAATTGAGCAAATTTGAATTTAACGCCGTGTATGGGACAAAGACGAATTTTATCGTTTCATCTTGCGAAATTGATTTATAACTCGCACGTCCATTTTGTGAAATCATTGTTTATAAATATTAATTAATTACTATTATTTGGGGAGCTTATTCATTATACCTATAAAATTTCATATTTATACTCTGAATTAATGTCAATTTAAGTTTTAATTTATCTACACGTTGTATTTTTGGGGGTAAAATGCTAAATAATGTGTAATTGTGGTTTTTGTCGTTATTTTCTACGTATTTCCAGATGTTCACCTTACACTAAAACTAAAAAAATAAAAAATATTTTACTATCTGATTTTATATTTAAATTATTATGTTAATTATTGTTTAACCAAGTTTTCAATCTTTATTTTTAATAAGCGTAAAAAAAGTACTAAAATTTTAACGAGAAAACTATTTTAAAACACTTTGTTTTTCATCTTGTGATCTAAGTGAACGTACTATTTTTTTATTGTCTACTCTAATTACTTTATGCTTAAATCAAAGCTGTTATTATTTTATTTTGTGTTCATTAACAATAGTTTTTTATTAATTTAAATTTCTGAATTAACTGAAATCTTTAAATGGGAAAAAATCTAAATATTTTTTTATATTTTTTAATTTTTGTAGTGGTGTTTAATGTTCATAAATTTAAATATTGTTTATAAAGTAAAATCCAAAACCTTTTACATTTAGAAGAAAAAGCAATAGCATTTTAACGACATTAAACAATTTTTAATCATTAATTTTATTGGCATTTAAATTTCAAATTATGAGACAAACATTGATCAATTATAAACAAATTTATCGTTTAATTATAAAACTTTTGCAAGTTGTAGAAAGTTTCCATTCGTTAAAATATCGGTTATATTCGAGCCGACCAGACAGCATATATTTATGTAAATCTCTTAATAAATTATAATATTATCTATGGGGTTTATTATAATAATATTATATATTATTTTAATAATTATTAATGGAAATTACTTATACATTTAGGTTTAGAACAAACATTGTTTAAATTTTATAGTAATCTTTAGTTTCTTGTTACTACAAAAACGTCAACAATTGCGTACAATAATTATAAATTAATTCTAGATAAAATAGCTTATTTAAAAAATTTTAGAACGTCAAAAAAACTATGCAAACCCTCACGCCACGAAATAATTGCAAGTTGCCTAGACAGAGCCTCGTTTCTGTTGGCACGTTTTTTAATTTAAATTTCCGAAATTATATAATAAAAATATTTTTTGATGAAACATAAAATTTACATTTTAAAATATATTTCATTCTACGATACTCACTTGATTGTCATTTTGATTTTGTGTCAGGCTCATTGATACATGATGGGATCTGTTACATTATTGTAATTTTTTTTGTGGAAAATTTGTTTAAAAAAAAATGTAAAATTTCGACGGGACCCAAAAGAACCGGAAGTTTCGAGACGTTAGAGGATCGGTTGTTACCAACAGACTGAGCCTAATTCATCTAAGGGCGCATATTCGAAGTAAAACAGGGAGCAGAGGGAGAAATAGCCGCAACGTCGCGATTCTTATCTATTCGGCCCTCTATTTATTATTACTTAACTCGGGCTATAAATTAAAATATAAAAAATAAAAGAGGATCTGAGTTGATTTTTATTACACGCGTAGTTGTACAAACCATGTAAATAAAATTTAATTTTTTTTTTAAATAATGAATTTTTAAAGGACATTTTCAAATCAATATTTCCTGTAAAAACATTTATACATTTTTTTAAATAACTTTAAATATACAGTATCTTAAATAACTGTATAAATAATAATAAAGATTTTATAATGTAATTAAACTGTGAAATAAAAAAATATTACCATACAATTATTAATTTTTCTTTGTTGAATGTTGAATATACAGTGATACTATTGTAAGGAAAAATATTAAACATGGATCTGTAATTAATTAATTAATTTTTAGTTAAGCATTGTGCTAATCTTATTCTACAAAGAGATAATATTTTATGTCTTATTGAGCTGTCACTTCTAAACTGAAACATGAATTATAAATAGAAGATATTTTAATCAAGCTGGAAGATTAGATAATGAATTGACTCAAGGTCAATTAAGAACTATGTAAAAGTAATTTATGGCGAAGAAGCCATTTTTAATGAAAGAACATATGTATGAGGATTCTCAAGGAGAAAACGGTCGACAACTCTTTCAGGCTGAGAATGCTAAATTGAAATATGAATAATTAAATTTCACGTAAAGTCAATTATTGACTTTACGTGAGTTCGACAGAGAAAAATGTAAACGTACTGAAAAAACTTTCCAATTGAAATACGAAATAATTAAATAAGAAATTATATCAATAATTGACTACGATGAGAGATTAATAAAAATATAAACCTGCTGAAGATTCTCAGAGAAAAACAATAACTCAATCTTTTAATAATAATTCAATCAAACTATAAACAATAACTCTTTCAAACTGAAATACAAAATAATTAAATTAGAAGTGAAGTCGATGATTGACTACGATGAGAATTCAATAAAAATATATAAAGCTATTGAAGACTCAAAGAAAAACGAAACTCTTCCAACTGAAATACAAAATAATTAAATTAGAAGTGAAGTCAATAATTGACTACGATGAGAGCAATAAAAAATAAAAAAATTAAACACACTGAAGGGTCTCAGAGAAAAACGACAACTCTTTCAACTGAAGTATAAAATAATTAAATGACAAGTGAAGTCAATAATTGATTACGTTGAGAGTTCAATAAAGAAAAATGTAAACCTACTGAAGATTCTCAGAGAAAAAAAACTCTTTCAAACTGAAATATAAAATAACTAAATTGGAAGGGAAGTCAATAATTAACTACTATGAGAGTTCACTAAAAAAATGTAAAAATATTGAGTAGTTTTAAAGAGAAATATAACAACTTTATCAAACTAAAAAGCCTGAACTGAAATATGTAATAATTAAATTGGAAGTGAAGACAATAATTGACTACGATGAGAGTTCACAAAAAATGTAAATATTCTGAAGGAATCCTGAAGACATCGACAACTGTGGTAAACTAAAAAATGAAATAATTAAATTAGAAGTATAGTCAATAATTGACTACGATGGGAGTCCATTATAGAAAAATGTAAAGGGATTAGAAGTCGCAATGAAAAATGGGTGTTCTTTTAAACTGAAATAATTAAATTAGAAGTGAAGTCAATAATTGACTACAATGAGAGTTCAATAAAGAGAAACCACCCTCAGACGGTTTTAAACCATGAGGAATGTCTTTTTTGCTTTGTAATATATAATGCCGATCCGTAAACTTTGTATATATATTAAACAATAAAGACTTATAGTAGTAAAGAGAAACCAGTCTAAACTGAAAAATGAAAGAATTAAATTAGAAGTGAAGTCAATACTGTCTTTATTGTCTTCAGCAGAGAAAAATGTAATAGTAAGAATTTTCAATGAGGGAATGGTCAACTTTTTCAAAACGAAACTCTTAAACTGAAATATGAAGTAATTAAATTAGAAGTGAGGACATTAATTGACTTTATTGTGAGTTCACTAAAAAAATAATGAAAATATCCCCCCCCCAGGGTTTCAACTATGAGGTTATATGGTGTCAAGGAGTCGGTGTTTTTGACAAAAAAACCCAATATTTTAAATTTATTAAAAGTAATGAATCAGGTTGTATCTGATTACCATTTGTATTGTCACTGGGCAATGTGTACCCAGGTTTAAAAAATCGTATTACTTATATTACAATGCTTTTTAGTTAATTACATGCACAAATCTAGGTCAAATGATGATCAAAAACACCATGTTTGTTATTAATAGTAAATAAATAATAAAAACAAACTACTTCAAGAGAAATTATTTATTAACAGCCTGCGTAATTTTCAATAGTTTATGCAGGATGGATTAGAAAGCCTTACATTATAAATCACATAAATAGGACTTGAAAATAGTATATCAAATTTTAAAATTATTGTTTCCCTAAAAAACAAAGATTTACAAAATAAAACTAATTAAAATGTCACAATTAAAAAGAAACTGCCAAATGAGTAATTATTATTTGTATAAATTATTACAATATGATTTTATACATTTTCTTCTTCTTCTTTTTAAACGTGTAGCTAAAATAGCAGTCTTGTCAGTTTAAGATCACAATGATTACATGTTTTTATTTAAAATAGACTCAAGAAATGCTGTCATTATTGGTTATCAAGTATAAATATTAGCTGGAAAGAGGACATTGGATGGACAAAAGTAGAAAGCAAATATATTACACAACGTAAAACATAACTAAACTAACCAAGCATTTTTATATAATTATTATTTAAAACAAACAAAAAGATTCGTAAAATTAATTTTTAAATTGAATATATAGTTTATTTCATTTTAAAAATCCCATGTTGAATAATTTATTCTTGTGCTTGATTCTTTGTAAAAATCATTATCGTACTTAACTTCTAATCACAAAAAGATGATAAATGTTCGGTATTTTATTCATTCCATTTGTCGAAAAATAATAAACAGAAACTGATTAGTTGGCAGATGATTGTCTAGTTTCACTTTACCGGTTACATTTGAAAAGTGAATAACATACATATTGATTCTTGAAGTTATGATACTTTTTAATATATTAACAACATAATTTTTTTAACAATAATGTATGGTTTACTTTTTATTTTCAATTATTATCACTACTTATTATTCTGTTGCATATAAATTTGGATGATTTTTTTATATAAATATATTTTGCTTCCAGGTATTATTTAAAATTACATTAAAAATTTTTATACGTTGTTACATCAACTTTAAATAACTAAGTTTCTTGAAAACAAATATTTGGCAGGAATTTTTATTTTCATGAAATTTTATTTCATTTACAGCCTGAAATAAATTATTTGCTTTTTATCATTTTAAATCTTGTTTATTGAATGTAATAAGAAATGGTTAACTTGAACTTATCAAAACCTAAATCATGGTAAAGTTATTATTTAAAAGTGAAATATAAAACAAATGTTTAATCCTTTAATTCAAAAACAATACCGAGTGAAATTCAATTTTAAACACAGCCAAGAAAATAAAATGTAACTATGAAAGTTTGTGTGTTTTTTGTTGAAATACATTTTTCATTGTTATCTTTGTGAAGAATTTTTCTGAACAGAAAACAAATATTTACGTTTATTTACAAACGGTTTAATTCATTAATGCTTAATAAAGTTTGGCTCAATAAACTCTTTCCAACTTTACACTGTTATCAAGTGAAAAAAGGGACTTTTCGCAAATCAACAATAAATCCATGAGAGAATTACAACAAATAAATAAAGAAGTTCAACATCATGCGCAAAAAGCAAAAATTTGACTGACAGGACGGCAAAATTCATACATATCAATGATTCAACAAATTGGATATTTATTTACTACTATGTACATTTTATTAAATACATAAAAAATAAAATAAAAAAGGGAGGGCAATCGGAAGGAAACTGTGAAGTAAAATAAAACAACTGGCATTGACTAGAAAGAAGAAAAATATGATCCATAAAATAGAGATTGTGGATGTAGATTTGATATGGACCCCCAATTCGCTTCGACATGAAATAAAATAAAATTTATAAAAAAAAAATAATTAAAAGAAACACCCCAACTCTATTCTCTGTCATTCAGTATTGTTAATTGTGATTTGACACAATCATTTAATGTTGATTTGAACAAAGTGACAACAAAGTACAAGTTAAATTACCTCCAGTCAATTTCTAGGTCTGTTTTTTTTCTCAAAATGATTGTCTTCAGCATGTGATAATTTTCTATTCTTAAAAAATTATTAAATGCATTTTGGACGTAGGTCTTATTTATATTTATGATGTTCAGCTAAGAACACATAATTAACAAGTTGAAATTAAAAGTGCATTAAAAATAAGATTTTTTTTCATTTTTATTAAAAGGCCCATGGAATGTTTTAATGTTTCTGATGAAAATTGGTTTATTTTTATTAGTTTATTTATTTCAATACACTTTTTGAATGTTTTTTTTTATTCAACCAAATAGAAATTTGTAAATATATTTCTAAAACTTAAATCACTGTATTTTTTGTTAGATTATCACAGAGAATGTACAATAGAAAACGGGAATCCATATTTAACTACACCCTTTGATTAGTTAGTATAACCCAAATGACTGCATACACAAGAATAGCAATTTTCAATAAACAATACATTTTTAATAATGAGGAAAAAATAAACATGTTCAAAAAAATGACTACACAACTAAAGATGAGCGTTTTCTATAATTCACTTTTTGCCTTATCTCCTTAAATATAACAATTTTTTTCCCTTACATTCATCTCACTAATTCAATAAAATACTGACAAAATTTACAAATATTTTCTTACTTATAAAAATAAAATTGAATATTTGTTCTGCCATTTTCATTTCTCACTGAGATTTCATATTTACTTAAAATATTTTCAATAAATTGTTTTTTTATTTTTTACTTGTTTAAACTATTATTTACAGTTATGTACATCTTAACTATTTTTTTATAAAAAGAAATAAAAAATACCAATGTTTGTAACATTACGGATTAAAAATTATATCAATTTTTATGGCCACTCGCTTCTTAAAAATTCATTTAAAATTCAGTAACAAATAAATAAATTTGAAAATACTTAGGATGGAGACAATAAAAGAAACAAAAATAAACTGTACTAACCCTGAGTTCTTGAAGAAAACACTTTTAAATAAATATAAAAAAAAATTATGAAACAGTGCAAGAGTTTCTTGGTGCTGATGGACTCCTCGTTGGAAGCGACGGTGACGTCAGCGTGGTTGAATGAGGCGAGCGAAGCTTTTTATGGGACACAACCGGAATCATTGTGTATCGAGTCATCGCATAAGACTTCAAATGTGACTTGACTATAAGAGGTAAAGGTAGCTGTTCGATATCATAAACAGTTGTTCTGGCTACAATCGCCCTACAGCACAATTCCTGCAGCGACAGCACTGAAAAATAAAACAAAAAGAATAAAATTAAAATTTCAATATTGGCTAATTAAAAAATTATTTTAATCAGTAGATGGACTTTTTTTCACAGGTTTTTGTCCATTGGATAGAGCTTAAATATTTCCGTCGTCATTTACCTTTATTTGATCTCAAGAGTCTCTCCATACCGTTGCGATGCAACGCTCTCCTCGACAATTCGCTAAAGCTCTCCGTTATGTTGAAATTGCACAGAGGGCTCACTTCAAAGTACGCCATGCTGTTCCGCGCAGCATACATTTCCGCTTCCCTAGTTCCAACTTGACGTTTAAAAGCAAGGTGCAATCGATTGCCTACCAGCACTTTAGGAACCCCCGGCGCATGCTGTTATCATTTAAATGCATTATTAAAATTGTTGTGTACCATTTTTTCGGTATTACTAATACTGACCTCCTCGACTTCCTTGAGCCAGCGGTCGATACCATCAAACGACCATTTGTTTGTTATGTCGTAAACAAGAAGAATTCCTTGAGCACCTCTAGAGTAAGATCTTATAATGGTGCAAAACCTTCCTTGCCCAGACGTATCCCATAACTGAAGCTTTACTCTTTTACCATCGAGAAGTATCGTCGTTGTTTTATATGCTGAAAAAAATTATCAAAATTATAAGTAGGTATCTTGTCGATATTAAGAAAAGGCTACACAAACACTTCCATTTGGGCCAAAAGCCCACATATGTGTACGACATGTGAATGGTGTAATTCCTTGGCTCCATATAGACAGCGTGTAGGAATGCTACCTGATATGGGAATTGTGTTTGAGCATGGCAGCAAGTATTTGGGTCCACTATTCAATTCTTGGAGGAGAAAGGTTTGTTTTATGGCACTGATAGTTTTCTGGTGTCAGGAGTGAATGTGTAGAGTGAGAGGACCGATGCCAGAATATTGAGTATCCATCAACAAAACGAAAAAAAGGAAACTTGCATTTTGTAGTTTATTTCAAACTAAATGTATGTTGAATGTTATATTAATTATAACATACTTATTTTAATGTAAACCAAAACATCAGAAAATCTTTTAGCGACAGATTAAAATTTAACAAACAATTTATTACATATTTAGTTTTATGCTTAATAATGTGTATTCCCTTGTAGCCTCGCGGAAAGTCTCCTAGACATTGAGTAAATAAGCGACCAGATTTAATTTTATCAAACAGAATCCCATTCTTCAAGAAGAGTGGTTTGAAGCTGTTCAACAGTCGTTAGAAGTGGTGAACGCTGTCTAACTCATCTCTGTATCATGTTCCCAAGTGTTCTATAGGATTCTGGTCTGGAGAACCCGCTGGTCAATCTGTTGTGGTACCCTACATCTTACAAATATAGGGTGACAATTCGTGTTTATTAGCATTATCATGAACAAGAAGTTGCCCCCAATAAATGGAGCGAAGGGACCACAGCTTCCAGAAGAACTTCCTCAATTTACTTTAATGCAGACAAAGATCCAATCTGTATAATAATCAATCTAGTAAGAGCGTGAACACTGATTCCACTTCACACCGTAACTTGTGTTTGAAAAGGCTGTGGCTCACACATGGCCCATGAGGCAAAGCATTCACCACATCTTCTCCACACATGGTCCCTGTCATCTGATTGCCTGCCAAAACAACACCCATTCGATGCCTCTTTTGTAGAAGAGAACCTAATGTTGCATGTCTAGAGATTAGGATGACTTGTTTTAGAAAGCACATCCTTACATAATGAACTGTTGACTATCTATCAAGGAAGCTGTTGAATGATGGTTCCGCAATGTGGTAAGAACAATAAAACGGTCTCTGGCCATATTACATTCGTGGGCAACCACTACCTTCTGTTCAATCGAGACTTTCAGTGGTCCTAAACCACTGTAGACCATATTGGATGGTAGAGCACACCCGGGACTTGGACTATATAATGGACACTACTTCCATAGTTGGCCAAAGTAACTGCCCAGGTGATTAATTCATTTGACAAGTCAGCTCTGGAAAGTATGAAATTGAACTAATTTTCTTCTAAGAGAGTGTAAAACGATTAGTAACACTCTATAAAGGTCAACAGCAAATTATTAATGTTGTCTTTATATATGTGGTGTTTAGTGACTGTTAGTTAATGATTATTTAGAGATCATGAAGTGCGGTCTGGTGTGACGAAGGTTTAGATAAACATTTTCTTATTGTGTTATTGTGACAATGTTTCGATCTTTATTGAGATCATCTTCAAGGCCTGGGATATATAAACATTGTTTAAATTATACAAATATATGTAGGATGTGAAAAAATGAATTTATACAATGTTAGAAATTTTATTATTTTACACTCAATCAAAGTATTTGTACTCACTCAAAGTGTGTTATTTTTAAGTAGATGTGTCATTGTTGGCAGCTACTCTAATATCATTAATCAAACTCAATATCAATAGCACACAAAACATATAATACAACGTATAAAACAAGCATTACTTCAAACAACTTTACACAGTCTAATTCTTCAACAATTTATCTCTCTTTTCCATAACAATCCCCGTCTATAATAATCCTGAAAGGCTATCCAAGCCTGAACGACAAGCCATTACCCTTTATTCCCATTGTCGGCCCCTTTCACCTCAAACAAGCCGACTCCTCACGGAAAAATGGATTTCTATCACTACTTCCTTCTCCACTTCTTCATAGCCCAACATATATAAACAAAAAACATTAATATCTAACTAACGCTCTCAGTATGACACACAACAATGACACATCTACACAGAAAACACACACTTTGAGTGAGTACTTTGATTAAACCTAAAAAAATTTATATTGTGTACATCATTGCATAAATTCATTTTCACATCTTACATGAATTTGTATAATTTAAACAATGATATTAATCTTCATAGATAGTTATTGTGGAAAATAAACACAATAAATACAATTGTCTGGTTTTTTGGTCTTTGAGTGTATGTGTAAATAGTGATGGAGGAATATCAAATACTCCACTCTATGACTGAGTGAATGTAAATAGGAAAAAATGTTTTTTAAGTGGATGAGAGTGTGAATGGGTTTGGATTTGGGGACTGATTGCCGGAGGCTGAATTGACCTAGCTGTTGATAGCTGGGGCCCAACCTTGGCGGCTGGACATATAAGACCGAGGCCTGTCTAGGACTGGCGAAGTCCAAGGTAGGGTGATAATTTCGAAGCATGACGGTGATTTATTGTAACTTGCAGGAAAGCTTGAAATATCGGTGGACTGCGAGTAGTGATAAACTCAACCATATACATACGCGTGCAGATTCATTCTTATGTAAATTTCTAATCAGTATGTCTTGTCAGAGTCCAAATTGATAGCAAAAGTTGACTGAAACTTCACAGGAGTGTTTTTGAGTGGGGCTTACAATACAACAAGGACGACTTGTTTTTGACAGCCCAAGAGTGAAATTTATATTGTTTATTTTTACAAAGGAAATATCGTAATAAATGTCACAATTTGTTGTTTAATTTAGGTTGAAAAGCATACCACTTCCACTGCAGAAAGGCGATTCAGATGAGCCATCGTCGAGGCCGCTCAGTATTTCTTGTTTACCGACGTCGCTATCTCCCACGAGTAGAAATTTTAACAGATAATCATATTGTTTAGGCTGTTGAGATGAATTTCTTTCCACTGCCATAACACAGGCCTGAACTTTTTTCTATTGGGCATAATAATATTGTTGAATTTGACTCGAATCACAGAAGAAAAACAAAGATTTTCTTTTTTTTATGATGCGAATATGTTGTAGGATGGTGTGGACACTCCGTTCTCCACTTCTTCAGCCCTCGCCTTAAAATTTATGCCCTTATCTTCGCGAATAAGGATGTAAACAGTTTGTTCTGTTACTGCCCTAGATTTAGATAACACACCTTAGAAATAGCCATCTTCGACTTCATCTTACACAGCTCTCAATGCATCGATACCTTCATTTCGCCCGATTTCGTTTGAAATCGATTAGTGTCCGAGTGGATCGAGGTCACGATAGCTCAAGTGGTAGAGCAGCGGCGTATCAAGCTGAAGATCGTGGGTTCGAATCCCGCTCGTGCCATTGACTTTTTTATCTCAACTAAAAACCTTAATTAATTGTAATATATTAATTGGTCAAGCGGACCACGAAATTAGTGAATTTAATTATCATTGTGACTCTTTATGGCTTAAAATCATCATTAAATAGATTCGTGATGAGACCTCTGCCCGAGCAGTTTGGACTATCCAACATAAGATTCACTAAACAAAAAAAAAAATCAATACTAACAGCAAAAATTAAATCAATTTTTTGAGCATTTTATTTTGAACCTTGTGCAAACAAACAACTATTTTTGTTTTATGTGTCTAGTTATTCTGCGGCCAGCATGTGGCAATGTAGCAATAAACGCCTTGTTCGGGCAGAGGCTGGCTCGACAAGAATGCACCTCCATCAGGGGATAATTTGTACAGCATAGGACGTTTTGGGCTCAGAGGCCTATTTTTATTAGCCCACAAACCTTTTGAAGGATCGATATAGTCCGAAAATGTTTTGTCTTCTTCATCCTATACAAGTTTTAAAATTTTGTTAAAACCGTTTTTGTGTTTAACTAATAGATTTTTTCTTTTTAAATTAAAGCGATTACTATTAATTGATAAAGGGCTTTGATCGAGCCATCAGGGGGTGCTTCATTAAAAGGATGTACAAGTTCACCCTCCTCCATTTTATTGATTAGAGCTTTCAAAAGGTCTTGCTTTAGAATCTCATTTTCAGGGCTTTTGTATGCCACGTTGATTTTTCGGATCCAACGGAGAGCGTTCTGTTTCTCTGAAACGTTATCAAATATAATTTCAATTATCTTTGCTCTTACTCAAACTTTATACCTGAATATGACTTCAAATTGGTGATCAGTGATCTAGCTGTGTATATTAAATCGCCGCTGTCACACATTGAAGACATTGTTTTATATCTTCTACTGAAAGTATTTTTTTAAAATTATTATCTTCATTGTTATTTGATTTTTATTAATGTTTATGAGGATAGTGGAGAACAAAAGAAATAGCAGAAATATTGAATAGATCATGGGTGCCTTAATTTGATGCTCGTTAAAGGAACTGGGTTAAAGCGTTGTCACAGTGACCCTGAATTTACAAATGAGTTTGACATTCATATACATTTTACCCATCTTAAAAGTCATATTGTGTTGAGATTAATATTTTTTATGCTTTTGACCTGAATTACGCAAAATCAAATAGTTTTTTATATTTAAGGATGCTGAAATGCCTTTAATGGTCAAAATTACAGTAGGCAGACCAGGATCATCACCTAGCAGGCCTACAAAATAAAAGTCTTAAATTGCATAATTAAGAAAGAATGAACAATTTTAAGCTTATGGGTTGAATAATCGTAATTTGATATGTAATTCATACAACATGTTATGACAAGCTGAGATTTCTTCTTGTTGAGGTCTGCGGAGTTATAAGTTTGGTGGTTTCCAATCGTCCTGATACTATCAATGTTTGAGATTGTCAGTCATTCCGCCATCTTCAGTGATTAGTCAGGGTTGTTTTGACAGTCAAACTCTGACACAAACCTATCACTAAAGATTGTGAAATGTTGATACATGACTGCCAGATCATAACAAAGACCAGAATGATAGGAAATTACCAAACTTCAAATCATGTTGAACTGATCAGGGTCATTTACTGGGTCTGCTCTACTCGCAAGTTTTGTAGTTATTCAAACGCGTTTCGGCATTGCGCCATCTTCAGTGAGCAACTAGTTAGTAGTACCTCACTGATGATGGCACAATGCTGAAATGTGTTTGATTAACTCAAGTCCATGAGTGGAGACAGGCCCAGTAAGTGGCACTGTGCCAGTTCATCATGAGTTCACTGTCTCGCAGACCAAAATCCATCATCAACTCAAATTTCAAATGTTATTCTATCAAAGTGAAATTTGTACAATTGGTACTCTGATAATTTTCATATGTTTAATTACAAAAGATGCAATTTGTTAATACCACCATTATTCAATAAAATCCAAAGGAAAGAATCAACCAAAATTATGCAGAAAATAAATGTAAAAAATATTTTACTTAATGGATTTGACATAATTTTATTGATTTGGAAATTTTTTAAGTGAGAAAAATTCTTATAAGTGTATAAATCTTTGAACATACCAGCTATTTTATAGGACGTACAGGATCAATCTTAATGATTTTGATGTCATGTAACGAAAGTTTAATGTTTGTAGTAATATGTAAAGAGTTGTAAATAAAATTATTGCTGAAACTATTTCTCAAGATAAATATCAGCTGAAAAAACTGTAGGCATTAAGTTTTCAATATTTAAATTTCACAAATCAAGTTCTTTATTGTGTTTATAATTGTACAAATTTATTTGCCCGAGGAGAAAATGTTTGAAATTATTATTGACAAGACACAATAACTATTCAGCCTCGTATTCGACCGGTCTGGGTTTGCTCATAACTGCCAAGTAACAGAAAGCACCGCATTTCGGTATTGGTTGTGAAGAGAGGAAAGCCCCACCATCAGGAGAACTTTGGTCCACCATCGGCCTCTCTGTTTTTCCCATTACACCTGTACCTGCAGGTAAGATGTTTTGCTGTGCAATATCACCTCCAAATGTATTATGTTGTACATTTGCTCCTCCACCTGGCTAAAAAGAAAAACAGTTTAAACTAGCGTCACATCAAAAATATGTATTTTATTTACTAATAATTGTGCTATTGCAGTTAATGGTCCACTGGGCGGATTCTTATCAAACGGTGGTTCCAGCTTTCCATTATTGATGTTCAAAACAAGATGATACAAGAAATCATTACGGAGTTTCATCTCATCAATTGTCCGATTTGAATGAACCAACTTCTTCAGCCAACCCATCGCTTTTTGCCTTGCTTAATTTGTTATGTAAAGATGCAAATGTAATAAATTCGTGTTTTTATACCCTGAATATATTCGACTCTCTTACCTTTTTGCTCTTCTAAATGTGGTATCAGTGATTTGGCTAGAAATAGATTGTAATTGCAGTCATAGTTTAAATCCTCAAAGTTGTTGCTTTTGGACGACATAATTTGTTTTTTGTATTTAAAAATAAAATGTACGGTATAAAAAAAATGTATTGCTGGTAGTTAGTTTCAGTTTTATAAACATATGTTTAAGCCCACCCACCTGTTTAAAAAAATATTACTAATATGAATACTTCCATAAAACCTTTATTGTTAAATTTGTTATTTTAGTGTAGTCAGCAAACAGCCAATGTCAAAAAGCTTCTGTTTTACTTGTGAAGATTTTTTTTCTGCGTTGTTGGTTTCGGAGGTACGTTCATTTTCTTACATGGTTTCAATTCACATAAATCTACCTTCATCATTGATTTTTCATGTCTTTTGCATGCATATCTCATTTCATCTCGAAGACAAGCAATGATAGTTTGGTTTTCATCAAATCTAAAAAGAAATGAAGTTATGATACTACTAGAATGATGTTAAATTTCTTGCTAAACATGTTTAATTTTATATAAAGAACAAATGTACTTGTTTATTTACTATACTTTATAAATTTTGAACCAAAAAGTTAAACCCAATTTTAAAAAAAAATTAACATTAATGTTGCAGGGATGATCTAGAAGCAACAGCTGTAAGAAGATAACAAATATAATAAGGGAGACCAAGATTAAAATGTATGACTAAACTATTATATAAATAAGTCAAATATTAAAGAAAGTATAATAAATTTAAAATAATTTAGAACAATAACAAAGTAATATCTTATTTTTCTACCGTTTTCCCCCTTAGCAACAGTATCACTTTAGCAACTGGCTGTTTGTGGCATTAATTTATCAATATCATGGATGAACCAGAATATAATTACAACGAACAAGATACAATTGATACAATGCATATGGAGGATGAAGAAGAGGAGATGGTTGGTGAGTTTGTAGAAGATTACGAAGAAGGTGTTATGGAACCGACATTGGATACAGACATATCAGAAGGTGGGCTGGAAGATGAATCTGAAATTGTAGATGAATTAGAAGATGAACTAATTGAAGGAATTGTCAATGAGAAAGAGCAAACTAGTAACGTTTCGATTACCGATGTTCAGGAGGGCTTGAACTTAAGGACACAGCTTGTTGAGGAACCTTTAGTATTAGAAACTCCACCGCCCTCCAATGAACCATCAGTTGAACTAAATTACATTTCAATGGGTACGAGCCCCATGCACTCCGAATTGAGTATTCAAAAAGACGTCAATGAAGAGCGTCCAATTGGACCAATTGGTCCTCACAAAATAAAGTCAGCATCTGAAGTGTTTTTTGACGATGTGAAAGTCAAATTTTGTATGGTCGATGATATCGAAAGAGCAATTGAAATAGATTTAAACAGTGGCTTAACTGTAAAAGAGGCGTTAAAGGAGTTGGGCAAGCATGTTCACAAAGATGCAAGCGATATGACTCTTTATTCATTTTACACAAGGAAAAAAATGCACCATCGTGACTTATTGGCAAAGTATTTGATGCCAGAACAAGACAAGTTGATAACCCGAGTTTTCTTAACGTACGATGATAGTTCAGAAGGGAGTACTGTAATACCAGAAGAGTACGAACCCGACTTAAGAATTCAAAAAGTATTGGTTCACAAACCTGACGGTAGCAAGAAATACCTTGAAGTTCTGATCCATAACATAGCCTACACTAAAGAATGGTGCGGTGGTTTCAGGAATAAAAAAACTGGCATTGAATATTACAATACTTGGACACAAACTAATCCGTTAGAACGAGGGAGAGGATTACCACCAGGGATGTGGCCTCCAACGTTATACACAAGAGAGACACAGACGCATCTTCCATATGTAACGTCTGACATGAACACTCCTTACGAAAAGAGCACTCAGGTGTGGAGGAAAGATTCTTACATCCCTTCATCGAGCGATAAAATTTTAGACGTTAGACCATACGTTTGTTACGATGAATTGTACAAAACATTGACACCTTATCAGGCTGTTTTAATTTTGCAAAGATTCTTCAGATATTGCCTAGCCAAATCGAGATTAAAGAAAGCAGTGAGCATAGCATCTGAACAAAACAAAGCCGCAGTTAATTTCAAAGGGGTGCTGAATGAAGAAATCCATAGAGATAGAATGGCATTGTTGATTAAAGAAACTTTCCCATTGAATAGAGGCGATTTTTACGATTTGTACACAATCTTGGGAATCTGGAAGCAGAAGGAATTGCAAAACATTAAAGAAACGACAGAAGGGATTTCTAGGAAGGCTGCAATAGCAGAGTTGCTTGATAAAGAAATTCAATGTCTCTACAATATTGAGAATCAAAGGATAAAAAGCAAAACTGAAAGCATGAGGCGAATAGACATGAGAGTGTTACAAAATTCTGCGAGATACGAGGTAACACGCTACAGAAAAGGCAATTTAACAATTATAGACACTTTGGCAACTCAGAGAGCAAACGAATTTAAAGAAATATTTTCCGCCTACCAAACCCTAGATCTAACTAAAGAAGAGAGGATTGATATTTTAACAACTTGGAAAATTATGCTATCAAAACTTGAAGGATTAGATGTAACTAAAGACATAATTGAGCTGCTAGATAGGGAGACCGATTTACTACTTCTTGACATTCCAAACAATAAATTGGTCGGCTTAAGAAAAAGAGTCGAATCTTTATTTTTCAATATGATCAAAAGCCCTGAATTCAATACACAAGTTCTTAATTTGACAAAATCAAATGAATCTCGCCTAAAACAACCTTTATACAAATGCAAAGGATGTGGAAAAGTTAAAAGCCCAGCATATTTTTTCTCCCATCTCAGGCTTCTTTCATTTCATTTCTGTATGTCTTGTTCTTGGATGCACACCACTGCCAATGCTACTATCAACTTGGCACCTTACACAAGACTTTTAAATATGTTAAGGGCTTCTGAAACTATGAAATGCTGCCGAAGTTCGGTAGTATTCTTACTCCAACCTATGGGTATGTATTACATAATGAATGTCATATGGCAAGGTCAATCAGCCCTAAGTGGAACTTCATATTTACCCGAACTAAGAATGACTAGATGGAATAGACAAGAGGAATGGGCTCCTTGGAATACAATTCTTCTCACTGAAGCTGAAGCGACTGTTCACGACGCATTAGACGACTTGCAAAAGTTTTACACAAGATGGTTTATACTTCAGGTCAAAAACAAACATATACTCGCCAGGATGCACTTCAGTAAAGTATACACTACTGATCTTGAATTACGTGAATCTGGTAAATGGACATCAGTCAAAGACGAAGGATTTTACACTAGCCGAAGACACACTGAAAATCTGGGCAAAGATTGTATCAATGATTTTTTTAAATCACCTCACGGATTGAACTATGTTGACACCTATGAGGAACCCTCTGGAGCTAAAACTATGGTATCTACTGGTGTTTAAAATATCATTGTTACTTACTTTCTCTTCAGTGCTTCAATATCTGATTGTAAATTTATTTCACGTGAATTGTTAATTTGGTCATAAAAACATTCATTCTCTGTCAAATTCTTAAGTTGTTTCTGAAGATTGGATAGTTGGCATTTCCTTTGTCCCAGAAGAACCTAAAAATGAATGACACTATAAATGTAGAAGGGACAATCTACGTTAAGAAACACTTTATGAAAATAATTATACCGATTATGCATTGTTTAATTCATTTAAACAATATTATACAGTAAATAATTCAATAAAATAAATTCTTACTTCATTGTGCTTTTTCTGTTTTTGTTTCCAAATTAAGTTTAACTGTGCTAAATGTAACTCTTTTCTAAGAGTATCTTCACAAAATCCTTCACTGTATGATTCTTTATTTGTTGGTCCTCCTTTCTTATCTACCTTCACATCTTCACCAAATTCCTAGTCGGGGTTAATTGTAGTTAGAATAATTTCAATATTTTTAAAAAGCCAATAATTTTTTATAACTAAATTATAAAACAACAAAACATAATTAGTGCAATGTAATAAGAGAAATATTTTTACCTGTTGCATAAGAGTTTTTATATAGTTTGGATTGTTTTTAGCCATTTCAATATTGAAGTTTGGAAAGACTGTTTTTATTTCACTGAGCACTTCTTTACATTTTTGATACAACTCTTTGATCATTTTTTTATAATCGGCTTCAATTTCTTTTTGTGTATCAGTCATCCCTTCTACAATTATCTTATACTTTTCATCGAAGAAGGATTTAATAGATTTGCGGAAATTTGAGGTTTCTAGTGTAGCGGCTTGATTCAGTTTCACCCCACCATCCGATGTATACTTAGACACTGTTTTCACAAATTCTTCTAGAATGGTGCAATTGTTTATTGAACAAATGACCGTGTTTATCATTCCCAATGTATCAGTTTCATTTACAGTTTGCTCATCATTCTTCCGTACAATGGCTCTTGTTTTACGGCAGTCTCGTTTAGGTTTTTCATTCTAACAAATAGAAACGCTTTATTACACGGAAAAGTTTTTTAAGTGTTTAAAAAAATACATTTTGTCTTGATTTTACTTTTCCAGTTAATGATAATGCAGTTACAACTAATTAATAATAAGTTAAAGATAAAAAAAAGTGTAATGATCAGAACTTTTCAGGAAAAGACAAGTTAACCATTTCTTATTCAATTGAAAGTAACTAAAATTATAATGCACATCTTTCAAACAATAGGAAAATTTTATAGGTAAAAATTGTTATTATTTTACCCTTGTTTTTGTTTATGTAGCACAAGAAGGAATATAAAGCTTACAAATTTTTCTCTGAGGTGCTATACTATTTATATATACATGAAGAATTCATTGCACATTCAAAAATAATACTAAAACTGCCAACATTCCAATTATAATAATAACTTGCAAAAGATACCATAGATAAACATATTTATTGGCTCATAAACATATTTAAATGCAGGAAATCTCTATATCCTGTATTTATACACTACAAACATTGCGATTTATGGTGGTATTTATGATATTTAAAGCGAGGGGAGAACTTATCACTTAATCACAAGTTCTAGAAAAGCAACCAGGACAAAAAAATACCTGAAGCATATTGTGCAATATGAATGTGAGGTACATTTTTATTGTTGAGCCATGTGGTAACTTAATAGATATCTTAAATCTTCTTAAGGCTCTCCCTGACTATCATTTGTGAATGAATTTAATTATGTTAAACTGATTACTGGTTTACATAAGCCCAAATCTGCACAAGCGTGGTCAGAGTTCACAGGGAATTTAGGCTTTTGTTTAATTTACAATAAATTACTGCCAGGCTCCGAGAATCATCCCACCCTGGGTGTTGGCGGTCCTCGGTCTTATCCGTCCAGCTGCTGAGGATGGGGGGCTCAAGGGGCTATCAACCCCCAATACTGTCAGTTCCTAAATCCAAACCAATTCACTTTCACTCACTCTTAAATATATTCTTTCTTATTTACATACCATTCACTCAGTTAGGGTGGTGGAGTACTCGATATTCCTCTATCTACCTTTACGTATTATTTCTTCTAATCGTGTTTTTAATGCATTTTTGATACCAGAAGGCAGAATCGTGGTGGTTAAATCTGAATGTTGGCTGATTATGTTAAAGGAATATTTATAATTTTTGTTAATATCATGATACTCCAGTTTTATTATCAAGATATTAGAGTTTATTGCGAAATTTTGCAAGTTAAAATTATTGAATTTAAGAATTTCTCAAAATTTTACCAGACATATTTTTCAAAGAATGCAAGGTGTTTAACTGACGTGATTTGTGCAGAGGTGGAAATATTTTTTGTTGTTGTTGAATAATAATTGTTTTTTACATTTAGGCAATAAACATTTTCTTTTTAAATGTCTTATTTTTACAACTAAACCTATTTTTGGTATGCAAAACATGAATAAAATACATTCAAATTTAAGGGTGGTGCATTATTTTATCCATCAGTGTGGTATTCTAAGTATAAATTATTATTTAATTAACATGAAATACTTACTTTATAGTCTGAATCAACTTCACATTCCACAGACTCCTAAAAATATATAAAAAAATAAAATAAAATCGTTTTAATGGTGAAATAATGACAATAATTGTGTTTTGTGAAACATTGCATTAAGAATTAAATGAATCAAGACTGGTATACTAAGTATAAATTATTATTTAATTAACATGAAATACTTACTTTATAGTCTGAATCAATTTCACATTCCATAGACTCCTTAAAAAAATATAAAAAAATAAAAGAAAATAATAATAATAATATTTCTCATTGTGTGTTAGATGGTGAAATAATGAAAATAATTGTCTTTTGTGAAACATTGCGTTAAGAATGAAATGAATCATCACAGAACACCCTGCATGATTTTGCCTGTAAGAAAGATATGTTCAGTCATTTCAAATTACAATCAGGCCAATCATGACTTTTTATAAGGTTATACAATCTGACGAAGCAAATATATATCACACGTATCAACCACTGAAGATGGCAAAATGCTGAAATGTGCCTGACAGACAAAATCAAAATACAATAATCGTCTACGTTATAGTTACAATTAGTTTTTCTCTGTAGGTACAATTCAAGTTACACAATTTTAATACTTTTAAATAAAAACAATTATATACATACTGCTGAAGAAGGAAGTGGTCGGGCTAAGAGAGAATAGTCTTCTTCATCCATGTTCTGAAATTTAACAGTTAGCAATTACAAATAATTATTCGTTGGCATATTATAATTATTTATTTACATAGTAGGTGAATATGGTAGAGTTAAGGCAGGGAAAGATTAATGACTTTACAGTCTTCATCTATGAGAAACAAAATGGCTAATTTATCAATATTGGAACAAAGGTGGGGTTGAGATAAGAAGTTGATGTCCGAGTGGATCGAGGTCACGATAGCTCAAGTGGTAGAGCAGTGGCGTATCTAACCGAAGATCGTGGGTTTGAATCCCGCTCGTGCCATTGACTTTTTTTCATCTCAACTAAAAACCTTAATTAATTGTACTAATTTAATTGGTCAAGCGGATCACGAAATTAGTGAATTGGAACAAATAATTAACCCATAATGTAACAATACGACCAATGATTAAAAAAGCTACTTTTCAATTAATTACAATTACATATTAAACACTCAATATTTAAAAGGCAGAAGAATTTTCAAAACCTGGTTTAAAATCACCATATATAATATTTCCTGGAATAAAGAAAGCATAAGGAAATCTCTTAATGCTTAAACTTATAACTAAGTAAATTAGGTATATTTATAACATAAGTAGCGACAAAAATGTATTCCATTTCTTACAAAATTTTACAAATAGAATAGAATAGAATAGACAAATAGAAAACAGTGTCAGTTTTTTTGATAAAATTAGCTGAAGTAAAATAATAAAATTCTGCTTGAACTTATCAACTTACTTGTAGAGGCTTGATAAAATCTTCGTAGTCAGGGAAAGATTCAAAACCTGAATAATCTGAGAATGTCTGATTTTCCTAGAAAGAGAAAGTATGTACTTATGTTTTACATATTTTGTTAATTAAAAGCAACTTTACTGATGCTTCATGGGACGTTTGGTAGTCTTCATCAGTAACTATTTCATCCTGATGAAAATTGCAATTAGATTTGTAAAACTGAAGTTAGAAACTATTTTATTTAATTTAATATTAGAGTTTATTTATTTTATATGTGTGTTTAAAGTATAAGTTTAATTTTTACATACTGTACATTCTAAATTTTGTGAATACTCTTCACTTGTATTTGTCGTACATTGTTTCGACTCTTCCTGTGTGGGATAGTGAAAAAAAAAAATTAAACATTACTAAATTAATGTGTGGTGGTTAGTGACCGTTAATCGATAATTATTCAGAGATCGTGAATCGTGCATCTCACGATCTCTGAATAATTACTAAATTAACTTCACTTATGATAAACTTACAGGGTAGATCAGAGATGTCTGAACAATGTAACTCAACTCTTTCTTCAACGTTTCTTCATTCTGTGGAATCATATTAATTAAATTAATTTGCAAATGCTTTTGTAAAAATTGTATTTTGAAATCTTATCATAATATAATGATAATTTTTACTTACTTCTTCACTGCTTGCTCCACTCGAAGAAAGTGGGTGATAGTATTTATCTACTTTCTGTAAGAAACAAATTAAATAAAATTGTGGAGGAAAATTGGTAAATTCAAGTTTCAAAGATCAACTTTCTTACAACTGAAGAAAAAAAATCACACAAATGCTCTTCTCCAGGAAAATCATTGTATGGGGGGCAGATCTTCTTTTCCATCAGCATAACAAGAATGAACTTAGCGTACGCATTTCGACTTATGTCTGAAATGTGTCCATCTTTGTGATCGTGTTCTACTTTACAAATCCAAGCTTTGATACGTGCAGCATCTGAAATTAGCCAAGTGGCAAAACCAGTTGATTTTAAAAAAACTTGTATTCTGTCTATGTAAATATTAACTGGTCTAAACATTAGGCAATATATGAATAAATGCTAGCTGTTATTTCTCTTCCACAGACCACAATAAAGAACATTTTGTTTGAGGATTCTTAGGTTAAAAATGTTAACACATCAATTTCATTTTTAATGATTTTATTAATTAAAATTCAGGTACAAAAATATGAAAATAAAAAATAAATTGTGTACACACTTAAATATTATATTATTTAAACTGGTTATATTGATCTATAAATAATTTTGGTGGTTTCCAGTTAAAATTGATCAAAGTATCTAAATTTTATCATTGCCATAATTAAGTTTCTTGATTTTTTCAATACTCATACAATGATCTCATAAATTGGTGAAATTTATGAAAACAAAAAAATATTACAATTATTTCATTATATAAATTAATATAAAAATACACATAAAAATAAATTATGTTAAGTATTTCTTATATGCTGAGAAAGACACTTTCTTTAAACAAATTTAAATAATTAAAATTAAAATGTAAAAATATAGTTTGAACTCGGATGGAATTTTGAACGTAGATCAATGTATTACTCTAGGAATAACTACCATTTTGTAAGTTCAGATATAGTTTATTTGAAATGATTATGACTAGTTTCACTTTCTTTGATTTTCTTTAAAGACTTTATTCTTAAATTTTATAATTTATTTTTTCAATTAAATGATACTTCTTTGTTATAGTGGACCATTAATTCATAATTGTGATGTACAAAGTTATAAACAATTCAGCCAAGCAAATTTTTTATTATATATATTTTTTTAAATTTTATTTTACCTTTATTATTATTATTATTATTTATAATAATAAACATTTAAATAACATATTATTATCATGCCAATGTGTTGATCTTTAAATTCACTAATTTCGTGGTCCGCTTGACCAATTAATATGTTATGATTAATTAAGGTTTTTAGTTGAGATAAAATAGTTGTCTCGTGCCATTGACTTTTTTATTAATTATGTTTTTATCTTTATTGAGATCTTCAGGGCCTGGGATTTATAAACATTGTTTAAATTATACCCAGACCTGTAGGATGTGAAAAAAATGAATTTATACAATGCTAGAAATTTTAGAATTAATCAAAGTATTTGTACTTAGTTGTGTGTTTGTTTTCTGCATAGTGTCATTCTTAGAGAGTGCCAGTGAGATATTGCTGTCCCCACCCCTTCAAAATCGAACTTATATAGACATAAAACAGCAATATCTCACTGCACTCTCAACATAACACACAAGAATGACACAACTGCTTAGAAAACAAACACTTTGAGTGAGTACAAATACTTTGATTGAATCTAAAATTTCTAGCATTGTATAAATTTTTTTTCCCCCATCCTACATATATTTTGTAAAAATTTAAACAATGTTTCTAAATCCCAGGCCCTGAAGATGTTCTCAATAAAGATCGAAACGATGGCATGATAAGGAAAATGTTTTTCTAAAACCTACGTCAAACCAGACCGCATCTCACGATCTCCAAATAATTTTGTTAACTAAGGAGTAAGAGTTTGCACAGTTGTGTTGATATGTGATGATATTGATCTATTAGAACTCCATGTGGCAGAAACAATTGACATTTCTGACAATATTATTTATACCAAAAATGAAAACATTTTTATTACGGGAGGTCTAATGATATCCTTGAAACAAATATGCATTCCTACAGAACATTTTTTCTTTCTATAACCATCGAGTTATTTATATTTGATCCTAAGAAGCAAATAGTTGAATCAAAAATCCTGATTCTCAAAAGATTAAATGAAACAAAAATAGAAATTTTGCTTATTAATCTAAAGAAATGACATGAGGAAAGGCATATTTTTTTCTATAAATTTTTTTTTCTATAAATTTATCTAAAAATTGTTAAGCCACATGATTCAAATTAAAATAAACAAGTTGAAATAATTCCATACCATCAACACTGCAATAATCTTCTTGCAAAATTGCTAACAATTCTTTAAGCAATTGTTTGTACTCGACATTAATCGGATTCATTGTCAGAAATGAACTATTCAATCTAGAATTTTGTAATTATGTTGTAAAAACATTAAGACACTTGTAAATATTGACTAGTAATAAATTTAGGTAATTTATGATTTTAACAGTTTTTATTTTAATGGCTGGAATCATCAGTTTCATAATTTTCTTTCAGATGGTTTATTAAGATGAACAAGAGAGGTCTGAAACATAATTAAATTTATCAGTTTTTTCTATTCTAACTATGTTAATAATAATAAATAAAACCAACAGGTCACTGTTTTCTTCACCAATTGCTTCTATTTTCAACTCTTTTTCCAATTCCGTTCTTGTCAACTGGTTTTTATAATTGTCCGATGAAGATTCTATAAAGAATTCTTTTTTAAATTTAAGTAAAGGAAATGTATTACACTAAAGTATATTGTGCCACGATATGGCAGTTTAACTGCAGTGATGAGGTCTGTGAGGCGATGAACACATGACTGACTACTCAGAATGGCAAAGTGATGAAACACAATCGACAAAGCAAGTGATAATGAAACACATGGTTAATAGTACACCGTTAGACAAAGAATATAGCGGCCTTGGACTCTTACATCGCTTATTGGGAAAAACGACATCTATCTGACCTCCCTGATGTTTGATGTTATACGACCACTGACATGGGCCTTGGGGGGGGGGGTCTAGGTGGTGCCAGGTGCTGTAGGCAGATTGAGGCTGAAGTGCCCAGGATTCCATGTGTATGTGGATGTTTCCAAAGCATTGTAAGCAATTCTTATCCACATCCCAGGAAATGGGTTGTGTTACTACCGTTCCTCTAAGAAATGGAAATTTTTAAACCCCTTAGTCTGCTTGCGACATCCTCTATAGTCTGATTATATAAATGTGGTTTTTTTTATTAGTTTTATTTTTTACTGCCTGTCCCCTTAGTGATTACAAGCCACAATACAAATTTACATACAATTTATATACAATGATTTACATATAAGTTGACATTTTACACGTACAAACAACTGTCACAATTTTTCTAAGTAAATTGAATTAACAAATTTTATAAACTCTACATAGTATTTTGTTTATTCAGAAATCGTGACATGTGGTCTGGTATGATGTACGTTTCAGAAAAACATTTTCTTTATCGTGCCAACGTTTCGATCTTTATTGATCGAAATAAGTGCCTGTTCTCAGCACGACCCGCAAGAATGGCACAATTACACAGAAAACAAACACTTTGAGCCCTGAAGATGATCTCAATAAAGATCGAAACGTTGGCACGATAAAGAAAATGTTTGTCTGAAACCTACATCACACCAGACCGCATCTCACGATTTCTGAATAATCATCGATCAATGGTCACTATTTTGTGATCAAAGTTTCTTGTGATGTAGGCCATTTGTCTCCTTGTAGAGTAGTTTCTTTTGAGCAGCATTCTTTCTTGATTGATGATCGTGCACGCAGATATAATATGCCTGTATATATGGGGATCCTGACCACATGGGCATTCTGGACTTTTAATTATTTTTAATGTATGTCATATATATGGCTGATGTATTAGTCTTGAGGTATTAAATAAAAAAGGTTTAATTAATAGATTTTTTGAAGTAAATGAATGTAGCTTGTTCGTTTAAGGGTTGGTCAAATGATGAAATACGTTTGACAGGCACAACCGTAAATGACCAAGGAGAAGGGCGGTCTATCAGCCCGCAGACCTCAACATTTCGCCTTAAAGAGCACAAATGTTGTGCTTAAAAATCAATAATCTGTTAATAAATGTATTTACCTGCGGAGAGCATCATGGAGGTGAAATTGTATCCTACCCAGTTCAAATACTCTTTGAGGAGGCTGTTTATAAGGCCAAGCTCGTGCGGTAGGCCTGGTTTGTTTTTGTCTTTTTTAAGCCCGGATATACCCAAAAGTCTCAGGACTTCGTATCTTATCTCCGACTTGATTTTACCAGTCAAGCCCTCCTTATTCAAATTCCTTTTCACAGCTTCAACAAAGTATCGTTATGTTGTTATGGATAGAATGGAATTTACATTTTATTAATACCTTCGTACAGTTCTTGTTCCGTTGCCATTCTCAGAAGGTCTAATCTCTCCTATTGCATACGGTACTTTCCAACAAGTATATTTATTGTACTTTTTTTAACAATAATTATTAAAGAATCCTTTCATTTGAAACTATTTTTAAAAAATCACTAACACACACCCGAACAAGCATTCGTTAAATAAATCAGTCCTATTCAAACATTCATACTATTTTGTTACATAAAACAAAGGAATAATGATTTAACCGACTTTGGGAGGTAATTAGTGAGTTTGACGTGTTTTGACCTGAGTCACTTGGCAGGTGGCACCTGCCGCCCGGCGAGGGGCTGTTGCCTGTTTCCAACCGGCAAAAGGCAACTTCTGGACGATCATGCCGAAGCGATTTGCTGAAAATCCTTCTCGTTATTGTGGAAAAAGAATACAAGGAGAAAATTTGATTTATGATTTTTTTAAAACATTACTGCCCTTTATTTTTGTTTGGACATTTTTTCATGTACCAAATACCGAAGCAGTGATATATAAAAGGTATATCGCCACAAAAGAAAACGCCATTTTAATTTTTTAACTTTTTCGTTTTTTTATAATTTTTTATCAGTATTACAATCAACTTCAAAGCTTTTAATAGTGTTTTTATTTTGTGGTTAACGTTAAATTTCTTAATGATATCGAAGAGACGTGAAAAAAAGTTCTTTGGCTTAAACTTTAAAGCCTTCAATTTGGAAGGGTATGTGGAAGACAACATATGAAACGGCGAGAACAGACGTCAACTGTCAAGTTGCCGGCAATCGATATTTGTTCAAGCTTGCACATAACCTTCGTTATCGTAACGTTAAAGAAAGTTCAATATTCCATGTATGATGTATTCCTAATATTTGCCGTTTGATGAATAAAGACCTGGAAGAAAGAGCGATGTTGATGATGATGAAAGACTGGAGACGAGCCTTGAGAACACCTCCTTCTTACAGGATAGGAAAGAGCCCGATTAGATTCCAGCCGACGTATGTAATCGGCGTTTCACTTTTATCCGTCGTCCTTTTATTTATGCTCGTCAAATCGTACGACTTAGGTAATGTCCCTGCTCCTTCGTTTAACCACTTGGACAGAGAATCGGCCCTTTACAAATATAATATTGCGGGTAACAGGCATGTAACTTTGAATTTGACGTACCCTTTGACACCACCTCGACACATCAATGACAAGGTCCATTTTAAAGTCGGTGCCATTGCTGACAAAGACGAAGCATCGCGGAGCAAAGATGAGTCAAACACGTGGGTAAGCACCTACATCACCGGGACTCTGATCTGGGACCAGAAGAAAAATCATATTTCCGTCAACTGGGACAAGAATTCGATAAAACCCCTCAAAAGCAAGTATAGCTATGGAGGGCGAGGGATGGAGCTATCGGAGCTTGTTACCTACAATGGGAATTTACTTACCTTCGATGACAGAGGAGGACTGGTTTACGTATTGAAAGATGACAAAGTCTACCCTTGGGTCTTGCTGACTGATGGTGAAGGTAAAATTGATAAAGGTGAGTTATAAAAAATTGTTTAAAAAAAAGTTTCTTTGTATAATATCAATCTTGAAGGAGTTTGCTTTCCTATAGCTTCATTAAGCATGAATGTTGATCTGAATGAATCCAATGCTCCAATGACTGTTTGGGTATCTGTCATTTCTCTATAATCGTGATCTGCTTGAGAAAAAACTGATGTTCAAGGGTCTGATGTATTTATGTGGGTACGTCAATGAATTGTACTTTCCTTTTGGTGGGGATGGATTGATGGTTCCACCCCCATAGTGTTGATGATATAGAATTAATTAAAATAAAAAATTAAGAATGTTGTTTTGATGCTATAATTTCTTACGAGTTAACAAAACACTAGTAGAAATATACATGATTTCACATCATCATATCATAATCAAATATTTTATATAAATATATGTGGGAGGTTTATGAGCTGGCAACCTCTGTGTATTTTGTTTTTCTTTTTCTGCTCTTTCATCATTTGAAACTGTCATTTGAAAGTCTCAGTCTAGTTTTTGACTTTTATAAGTATGTCGCTATCCTATAATGCTAGCCTCTCAGGTACCTCAGGTTGTCAAATATAGAATAGATACAAACACAATACATACACATACATCAAACACTTATACAGACATATGTCGCATTCACTTCCCCAGAGTACTCAATACTTCTCAGGGCATGGTAGAATGAACTCGATTCTCGCAAATAACTTGCTGTCACTCTCTAGACACACTCACCCGCAGAGTATTTATACAGTAATATTTTATATTATGCAGTATTACTTTTACAACCACTTTATTTAAATACATTTTTAATTGATTTTTTTTTCTGTAGGATTTAAATCAGAATGGGCAACAGTAAAAGATGGTCATTTATATGTTGGAAGTATGGGTAAAGAATGGACTACTCCAACTGGTGAATTTGTTAATTATAATCCAATGTGGGTTAAGAAGATAAGCAAGACTGGTGAAGTTGAGTCTTTGGACTGGAAAAACAATTATAAGACCATTCGGTCATCCTTGGGAATTAACTTTCCAGGTATATATTTTTAGTATTCAAACAATAATAATAATAGAAATCAATGAGCACTGTATTTACAATGCATACTCTTAGGATATCTGCTGCACGAGTCTGCATGCTGGAGTGACTATCACAATAAATGGTTTTTCCTTCCGAGGAGAATGTCCCATTATGCTTACAACGAAGATAAGGATCAGTACCAAGGAACAAATGTTCTAATATCATGCGATGAAAATTTTAACCAATGTCATGTAAATATTTGTTAAATATTTTTTTAAATTTATTTTAAACTTTTCGACTAACAGTATATGATGTATTTAGGTTACTCAGGTTGGTGAAGTTGTACCTACACACGGGTTTTCCAGTTTCAAATTCATGCCCGGTACACACGATAACCTTATTGTAGCCATAAAATCATACGAAGTCAATGGGAAACTTGAAAGTTATGTTATGGCTTTTGATACACAGGGTAAAATTTTGTTAGGAGAAACAAAAATAGACAATAGTAAATTCGAAGGCTTTGACTTTATTTAAGTTAAGTACATTTCGAGTATAAAATTCGTTCGATTGAATTCGACCGTTTGACACTTAAATCAAGTTGTACATAAATATTTCAGTTGTAAACTTAAAAAGTGATATGTTCATAGAGAAATTAATTTGTAAAATGCTGTGAAAATTTGATCAGTATTTTTGTATATTCAAAATTTTTTTAAACTGTATTAAATTGTGTACTTTTTGTAAAGTAAATAAAATGTACATATTGCACCAAGGCTTTATTATTATTTTCACAATCACTCAAACATTTTCTATTTCAACTTTCTTTTATTAATGTGTAGTGATTAGTGACCGTTAATCGATAATTATTCAGAAATCGTGAGATGCGGTCTGGTGTGATTGTGATTGCACTCTCAACATGACATGTAAGAATGGCACAATTACACAGAAGACAAACACTTTGAGCCCTGAAGATGATCTCAATAAAGATCGAAATGTTGGCACGATAAAGAAAATGTTTTTCTGAAACCTACATCACACCAGACCGCATCTCACGATTTCTGAATAATTTCTTTTATTAAATTGGAATTTAAAATTTTAAAGCATCTACCAATCTCGCTTATTTACAATTTAAAACTTATTACATTTTATCAGGTTTCGTGGTCCGCTTGACCAAATAAATTCTTTTCAATTAATTTATCTCCACCAAAACCTTAATTGAATTAAAACTTATGTTTAAAAAATGCCCTACGTAAGTTAAAACAATTTTCATTCAAATCTTAATATGGAAAATTAAAATCATTTTTGTATGATTTTAATTTTCCATATTAAGATTTGAATGAAAATTAAAAATGATTTTAATTTGGCAAATAACAGCGTCAAATACATCCCCTGATAACGCTTTCTAAGGTAATTATTTATTTTTCAAATTTCTCGCTTTTTTTTTTTTAAATAATCTCTGTGTTGTTTCAGGCAATGGACATACTGTTTGAACACAGTTGGAAAATAACTCTGTCCAAAAGGTGAACAAATATATTTCTGACAATCAAAAAATGAGTGGTTATTATTAATTAAAATTAATTAGGATTTTATGTGAATGGAGAGAGCGGCTGAAACATCAAGATTGTATTGAAGACAGACTAAATACAGAAAATTCTTTAAAGCAACTCTCAGAAAAGCATGACTTTTTATCATGGAAGACAGGTAATGAATAAAATGGATTGGGGTAAAGAATGACTAGCTTGCTAATACTTTTCTTAAAGTTATTAATATATTATAAATTTGTAAATTTATATTTGACACAGAAAGAAAAATATCTTTGCAAAGCTAAAAGTAGAAAAAATGCTTTAGTAAGGATATCCTCAATTTAGTGCACATGTTTACTGATAAAGCTTTAGCAAAATTAATTGTCCATCAAGCTTCTCTTAGTGTTTAAACTGATAAGATAAAATAAATGAAAATGAGACAATTATTTAAATTTTTTGAAACATTTTGCATTTACCCTATGCATAATAATACATGATTGATTTTAGAAAATTTGGTGATATTAGAAATACAGTTAAACTTCAATGTAAAAAAGTTTTTACTTGGTGAGATTTTGTCACCGTTCATTCGATTGGAGGGCCTGGTGTCCTGGAAGGTGCTTTACAGGCATGCAAAATACATCAATCTGAGGATTCAAAGTTAAGAGAGCAAGGTATACATTTATTAAAATCCGCACGATTGAAATTACAAATTGTTTCAGATAGCAGCAAAGACTTTGAAGCGCCAATTGTGGAATGCTAACGAGAATAGATTAGTTTAAAACCTGCAGAGATAACTACTAGTTTATGTTACCTACAATTAATAAAGTCGAAGAGGATCGGGATGAGGTCAACTGATAATTATAAGTATATGTTATAGTTATCAGTTGACCTCCTTCCAATTCTCTTCAACTCAATTATGCAGTGATAACATTTAATTGTTTGAATATATTGAAGATATTTAAAAAAAAGGTCTTTGGCTTAAAGCCTTCAAGAAGCATGTGTAGAAATTAATGAAGCATCAAGTTGCCGGCAACCAATATTTGATGGAATGCTTATGTAACCTATTATTGTAATGTTAACATTTTGCTATTTGATGTATTCCTAATGTTTGTCATAAATGAATCAATTATTTTCAAAGAAGGTTGTGAAACAATCAGTTTTTATTTAATAATCGCACACTTGTGTACACACAATGTATGTACACAGCCATGAGCGAATTTTTAAATCCGACCTGGACATACTGCGTCATCCCATTCACCCCAGATTTGGAATTGTATTTGTGGGATAAAAAGTGATATGCAAAGCAATTTTAGTTAGTTTGGCTGCAGACTTAGGAGGGAGATGTTGACAACTGTGAGACAAGCGATGAGGTCATCTTACAGGGTAGGGAACCCAATTAGATTCCAGCCGACGAATGTAGTTGGTCTTTTACTTTTATCCCTGGTCCTTTCATTTATGCTCGTCCAATCGTATGAGTTAGGCCATGCCAGTGGTGAAACGAATGCAAATTCAAAGTACCCTTTGACAACTCCTGTAGAAGAAAACTTAAAAGTCCGTTTTAAAATTGGTGTCATCTCTGACGATGATAAAAATGCAGTGAGCAAAGATGAGTCAAACACATGGGTAAGCACCTACTTGACAGGGACCCTTGAGTGGGAAAAGAGTGCAGATAAAATTACTGTCCAATGGGACAAGGCAAACGAAAAAAAAGTAAAAAGCAAGTATAGCTATGGAGGGCGAGGGATGGAGCTATCGGAGCTTGTTACCTTCAACGGTAATTTACTTACCTTCGATGACAGAACAGGACTGGTTTACATATTGAAAGATGACAAAGTCTACCCTTGGGTTGTGCTGGCTGACGGAGATGGTAAAAATAGTAAAGGTGAGTTATAAAAAAAATGTTAAAATTATGAGTGTTTTTGTGCTTAATATCAGGAATGAAGAACGTTTTCTATCCTTCCTTCCTAAGGCGAGTCAATTATAACATGCATTATTCCTTTTTAAACTCATTTATTTATGTATATATCTTTTGTAATTGATTTCTTTCTAGGATTCAAATCAGAATGGGCGACAGAAAAAGCCGGCAATTTATATGTTGGAAGTTCGGGTAAAGAATGGACGACAAAAGAAGGTACAATTGAAAATTATAATCCAATGTGGGTTAAGATGATAAATAAGAATGGTGAAGTTACGTCCTTAAACTGGCAAACCAATTATGAGAAAATTCGGTCATCCATGAATATTACCTTCCCAGGTACATATTTTTAGTTATAGTAATAACAGAAATCAATGAGCACTGTCTTTTTGTATTTCATTTCATTATTTTTGTTTTGTATACTCAGGGTATATGTGGCATGAGGCTGCATGCTGGAGTGACAAGTACAATAAATGGTTTTTCCTTCCGAGGGCATTATCCCAAGAAGCTTATGACAGCAAAAAATTTGAAACCCAAGGGGCAAACGTTATAATATCATGCGATGATAAATTTGAAAAATGTGAAGTACGTATCTGTTATATGTTTTATTTAATTTTAAGTCTTTCCAGGTGAACGGACTGTTTTGTTTTCAGCCCACTCAGATTCAAGGCAAAACTGAAGATAAACGTGGATTTTCCAATTTCAAATTTGTGCCAACTTCAGAAGATAAAATTATTGTAGGCCTAAAGACGGTTGAAGCCGATGATACAACTGAAACTTATTTCACGGCTTTTGATTTGGAGGGTAAAGTTTTGTTAGAGGAAACGAAAATAGATGATCATAAATATGAAGGTGTTGACTTTGTATAAATTAAATGATTCGAGTGTAAAACTCTATTGATTGAATTCGACTGTTTGGCAGTTAAAGCAAGTATAAATATTATAGTTGTAGACTTGGGTGAAATGAATTAGTAAAATGCTATGAAAATTTGATTCATATTTCTGTATATTCAAAATTGTGTATTATTATTAAATAAATAAAAAGTTCATATTGCACTAAGGCTTTATTATTGTTTTCACAACTTTTATTTATTAATTTGGAATTTTACATTTCAAAACATACACAAATAATTGCCCATGAACAATCTTGCTTATTTACAAATTAAAACTTATGTTTAAAAAAATTGCCCTGGGTAAGTTAAAACAATTTTTATTCAAGTCTTAATATATAAAATTAAAATCCTACAAAAATAATTTTAGTAGTTAAATTATGATCTTAAATAGTAGAGAGGAAGAGGATATCAAATTTTAATCAAAGATATAACAATTAATATTTATAATAGAAATAAAAAAGTAATGCAGTTTTACGAAGTATAGCGAGAGAAAAAATAAATAATAAAAAAGTTTTAATGAGATTTAGGCCTTTTCCCAAATTCTTATACCTTTGAATGTTTGTCTGACAGTGTTTGAATTCGAAGGGTTTTGCGTGCAAGATTTCTTTTTTCAGGAACTTTTGAGTCTGCCAGAGCAGAAAAATAAAATAAAATAAAAATACAAATTGTGGGGTAATAAACTACAATGCCCAATTTAAATAAAGAAAGATAGTTCCCTCGAAATAAAAGAGGATAAAGAAAAAGAAGTGTTATTGTTTTTTGTTTTATTATTGTTGTTAAGAAGCATTTGTGTATTTGTAGTATTTGAAGGGAAGAATAAAAGGAAAACAATAAGTTAATCTGGGAAAAAGCAATGCTTATATCCAGGTTCAAGATTTTCTTTTTAGAGTTATAAAATATGGAATCTAGTTTTTTGATGTAAGTAGCTGTGCTCACCGGTAAAATATATTGTCCACTTTTAACACGTTATTAAGATAATTAGGAAAAACATTGTTTCTTCTATATTTTATCAAGAATTATTTCTTGAGTTGGGCGTTTAATAACTTGTTATTTAGTGAAGACCATTTCTTAAAACTTGACCTTACTTGTGTTCCGTGTTCCTCAGCGATCAGTCCGTAGAACATACCTCCTCCCCAATGGGCAGTACTGGCATGTCCGTTGATATCTCCCATGATTAGAGTAACGATGTTTTCTTATATTTTGACCTCAACAGTTTAAATTATGATTTTTCCTTCTTGAAGGTGGGATAATAGGTCATCTAAAAAAAACCACAACCAGTTTTTATCCACAACGTTTCAGATTTATTTTAATCCTTCTTCAGGTGAGTTAATGCAATGGTTAAAACAGTGGTCGTCTATCATTAATATTTTATAATAGTTTATTTTAAAATAGAGCCAGTGTGGTACATATTTAAGTCTTTCAGACTCTGAACAAATGTTTTAATATTTTGAACCTGACAGTCACGTGTCAAAAAGCAGGAGTTTTAAAATTAAAATTTTATTATAATGAAGGAAGTAAATTTAGAAATGAAGTATTAATAAAAATAATTACAATGCCTTAAGAATTTCAAAATACACGTTTGATAATTGTGTTTGAAATAATGTTTCTAAATTTAGAGATCTTTGATATACTTGAAAAATTAATTTTATTTTTATAAATGAATCTAATGAAAGCAATCAAGAAAAAATTATATATTTATTTTTTTTATTTTTTATTTTACGAGAGTACTTATCAACCCTCGGGGTGCTGATGTTTTTGAAAAAACAAAACAAAACACAACTCATTTGTATGTCAGGACCTTTACCTTACAGTTATGAGCACCTAACTAAAATTATAATATATTGTTGTATTTAATTTTAGTCAAATTAATACTTACATATTTACCTAATCTAGTTGGGTAAGTTGCTATTAGTTACAATTGAAAGAGATTTTTTTTAAAAGATATTTTATTTTAGAAGTAAAGATCAGCAGAATCCGCTTAATCAGAATGACCTTAAGAAAGAAATACATGTTATAATTAAAGAAAAGGTACTATTCAATTCTAATGTTTATATGTATACAATTTATTTATTTTTATTTACAAAATATATACAGCATTTACAAAGAAATTAAAAGACTGGCTTCAGGCTTCCTGCCTATATACCTGATATACCCTAACTATGTGTCCCGATCTGTTTTCGATTCAACAAGACGGGCCCAACTCTGAATCCTTTTTATGAGAAACAGAGCCCCAGAGGTCTTGATCGAATCTGAATACAGCCGATCAGGTGCCTTTTTATAATAAAATTTAATTAAAGTTTAAACACAATTTATTAAACACACAAGAAAATAATAATTAAAACCAATAAATTTCCTTTTAAATTCCAAACAAACAATTAAAACTTTTTATAAATTTAAATAAACAGTATTTTCCTACAAAGCGTCTGCCAGACCCTTTAGAACAAGGGTGGAATCGTACTCACTATTTCCAGTCAATTCGCAGTGGACCGAAACACTCTATTTTAAGGAATATAACACTTTTGGAGGATTGAGGATCGCACACTTCTCTTGTGTCTCATCTACCCGGAATCTTTTTCACCTCTCTGACTCGACTGTCTCTTCCCTATTCTCCTTTATTTATTTATTTATTTTTTTTTACTCTAAGCCTAATCAAGACACCTAAATCATAACATTGTCACTTTGAAATGAATTGAAATGTGACAAAGAGGTGAACAAGATTCCGTGTAGAGGAGAGACAAGACAAGTGTGTGATCCTCAAAATGTTGTATTCCCTAAAATAGAGTGCTTCGGTCCACTGCGAATTGACTGGAAATAGTGAGTACATATTCACCCTTGTTCTAAATGGTCTGGCAAACGCTTTGTAGGAAATTTCTGTTTATTTAAATTTATAAAAAGTTTTAATTGTTTGTTTAAGATTTAAAAGGAAATTTATTGGTTTTAATTATTATTTTCTTGTGTGTTCAATAAATTGTTTTTAACTTTAAACTTTAACTTTAAAGTTTAATTAAATTTTATTTTAGGCACCTGATCGGCTGTATTCAGGTTCGATCAAGACCTCTGGGGCTCTGTTTCTCATAAAAAAGGATTCAGAGTTGGGCCCGCCTTGTTGAATCGAGAACAGATCGTGACATATGTATACAATTGTGTCTCATATAGTATACATACACATAGAGTTTTCTCCTTGTTTTGTCATCCCCTCAGTGCTGGATGTACATACTGGCCATTATTTATTTACATTAACATCCCATATGTGAAATTTGAATAGCTACAAAGTCTATTAGTCCATTTGCATAATCATTATTTTATGAATTGAAATTAATTTATATGCCTTATACCTATCAAAATAAGTCAAAACTTGGCATTAACAACTGAATTTACTTTTTTTCAAGATCATACTTTGATCCAAAGAGTTTAGAAATAATGGGCAGGTTGAAAGCTTACTTGCTCTCTATATGGAGCCATGATATGTATTTATTATTAATATTATTATTAGGGACACCCTGAGCATTCTTTACTTGGTTGATTCGACCCATTTCTTATTTTATTTTTATTAGAGAATTAAAATTAAGTTAATTTTTGGGTTGTACTATTTTTCCCTAATGTGTTTCTTATAGATCGAAGTTCAGACATTTTCTTAAGAATTTGACTGAAGCACTTTTAGTTTTGGCTTGAACGGAAAGATTATTTAAATTTCTGGCAGGGTCCAGGCAAAAAGGAACTAATAGTCTTGTTGTGTAGATGGCGTTAAATTGTGTTTTAAGCAAATAAAGATTTCTGTTTTGTTTTTGTTTTAATTGAGGCCGGAAGATTTTTGGAATTTCGGCCAAGTCGACACAATCGAAGAATATATCGATGCAGGAGCAAGCAACAAGAAGACACACAACCACAATTGGTCGGAAGTCACGTGTTTCGACCTATTGAAAACCCTAAACGCCTTCTTTCCTTTAATCAACAGGTTCTTTTTAGTTCTTTTAATACCATGGAAGAAAGTCTCAAGGAAATTTGTCTCAGTCTTTTCGACATCGGGGCACTTAAATTCGGCGATTTTAAAATGAAAGTCGGTCTCAATTCGCCGGTTTATTTCGATCTCAGGGTCATAATTTCTCATCCTTTGCTTATGGTAAGACGGGAGGAAAATTCCATCTCAAAATTTCTCATTATGTTTTTCTTTTGCAGAATAAATTGGCCGAAATTGTCCTTCTGTATATGAAACAGTTGGAATTGAAATGTAATCTGATATGCGGCGTGCCCTACACAGCTTTGCCGATTTCCACTCTCGTCTCGGCAAAATCAAACATTCCAATGGTCATTAGGAGAAAGGAGCCAAAAAGCTATGGCACAATGAAGTTGATTGAAGGCGACTTCAAGAGTGGAGAGAACTGCCTCATTATAGAAGATGTTGTCACATCTGGAGGAAGCATATTAGAGACTGCGAAGGTATAATTTTATATTTACTGTTAACATTCGTGGACATCCTTGCATCCTCCCTTGAGGTGAAAGAATGCTACTCGGGAATCTTTCTCGATGTCAAACTGGCTTTCAGTCGAGTCTGGCACCGTTCGCTTTGGAACCTTAAGGGATCTTATCCTCTACACTCTATTTCATTAAATCCTTATCTTACAATTCCTCGTGGTAGAGTCCTCAGCTGGCTGCTGTACTCGGTATACAGGGTGTTAGGCTACTCGTGTTACAAACTTTGCCAGTACATTCTACATTAAAAATGGAACTTAAAAGTCCTAATTAACTATGGTCTGAATCTCAGCAGTTTCGGAGTTATTCCATTTTTTCTGATGTTTTAAAATTTCACGACCTTGCTTCAAATAAACAAGGATAACTCTAAAACTAAAAGGTTTTGAACAAATCCGTTGATACCATTGAAAACTACATTAAATTTCCAATAAGATGTGATCAATAATAACATAAGCGTTAAGTAGCAAGAACTTTTAAAAATAATTCGTTCTCTGTTTGTGGAGGGTACGGTGAGCTATTACGGGATTGGAGTTAGAAGACAGAATGGCAGCGTTCATCAGTATGACAGTGGTGTCAGGAACTAAAAATGTTTTGGACAAATCCGTTCATACCATTGAAGACTCCATCAAATTTCCAATAAGATGTGATCAATACCAAACTTGTAAACGTTCCTGAAATAAGCATTTTAGAGGCAGAACTTTGAAAAATAATTTTTTTTTTTTGAAAGTTGAAAAACTTACTATGGTGATTTTAACCTATTATTCCCAAACCTAGAAACCAACAAATTTCAGCAAATGTATTCCATTTAATATCCTTTTTGGTGGTGCAATTGCTTTTTTAATTACTTTGTTCAAAGGTGAACAAATTGATGGAGGAAAGAAAAAATCGTGGCTGACATTGGTAAGGTGGAAAATTTAAAAAAAAATTAAGGAATTTTTTAAATGCATTTATTTAACATTTTTTTAATTTGGGTTCGAAACCGAAATAGTGCAAGTGTTTACTTATTTACCAACCCGACTGCAACTTTGATTAAAGGATTATTGTATTATTTTCTCTGGAATAAAAGTGTTTTAAGATTCAAAACGTTTTTAGTTATCTATGTGATATCTCGTTAACAATATGGCTACTTTTTCTAATGAAGAATATGCTGATATACATCTTACGTACGGGTTTTGCGGGTTTAACGCGATGGCAGCGCATCAAAAATACATTGTGGAAGGTAGAGAGCATTTTGAATCAAAATAAAAAAATAAAATAAAAATAAATTCATTCAGAATTTCCTTACGTTTTTTATTTTTATTATTATTAATTGTTCTAATCCTTCAACCATGGGTTTTTTCCTTTTCTTCATCTTTGAAAAAAATAATTAAAAAAGCAATTGCATCTCTAAAATGGATATTAAAGGAGTACGTTTACTGAAATTTGCTGGTTTCTAGGTTTGGAAATAATAGTTTAGAATCACCATAGTAAGTTTTTCAACTTTGAAAAAAATTTTTTTTTTCATAGTTCTGCCTGCTAAAACCCTTATTTCATGAATGCTTACAAGTTTAGTATTGATCACATCTTATTGGAAATTTATCGCAGTCTTCAATGATATCAACGGATTTGTCCAAAACATTTTTAGTTCCTGACACCACTGTCATACTGATGAACGCTGCCATTCTGTCTTCTAACTCCGATCCCGTAATAGCTCACTGTACCCTCCACGAACAGCTATATTCCGTTGAACAATAGTTCAAAAATGGCAAATCAAACTAAACACACAGATCAACTAAAGTCTCGAAACAACCTTCACCCTCTTTCGCATCACTCTACCTCTAATATATTATAATCTCACCCCTCTCCCCACTAAAAAATGAACTGAACCAGTGATACCGATGACTTAAACTACTAATCTAACACTAACTACTATTAGACAACAGATCTAAACTCTCCCTTGACAACAAACAAAATACTCACCTACAGCTAAATACTAAAACCAGGATATATAGCATAAACTATGGGGTACAATCAAACCTTCAAATCTCAGCAGAATCCATACATTACAGTCACAAATCGTTAGATCCATCATCATTCCCCCATGCTATATTTCCACTCATACCATCCATCCTTAACGACCTAAATGTTCCCTTTTTAAATGAAATTGCAAAATCCATCTACAAAGCTTCCACACTAACTTCAAATCCTAACTTTCCTACTAATCTCTTCCCAGCAATCCTCCTCGACGTCTAAAAGGCACCTTTGACTTGTTCTCAAGGAATGCGAGTAATTAAGTCATGATTTCTGATTTAGGAGTGCTATCGCTGGATACCTTCTCCAATCAATGTCTTTTCCTTTTCTTTTGGATTATCTCGTTTTCTATGTAACTTATTGCACTTTATGCAGATTGTTGCTCAATTAAAAAAAAAAGTTTGAAATCATAGAAGAGAGAATTCAAAAGGTAAGATGCTGGGAAGGTAAAAAAAACTTTATCAAACAAATCCGTCCCTGAAGATGGTAAAAAGGCAAAAAAATCGATGTGTATGGTCAGACAAAAATACTTTTAAATGACAAGCTACAACAATTCATGTTGAACCGGCACAGGGTCACTTACTGGTTCTATCTCTACACGCAGGTTCTTGAGTTATTCAAGCACACAACAAATTCATTAATAAATTTAGATATACAACTTTAAGACTGCCCACAGTAAATCATCTGAATTGAAACACAAACATCAAAACAATTGTGAGATTTCTTGTGTTATGGAAATGAAACTGATGTTGTAGTTTGGTTGGTTTATCATTGCTGATTTGGTCTACCAGATAATTATGCCATTTTACCTTCTTCAGCATTGCTCATGGATCTTTTATCTACAACACCTTTAAGTAGTTCAATGTATGCCCACATTATGAATAATGTACCTGATTATAAAGTTCTTTTGATGTGTTTTTATCACCCTTCTAATGTTGTTTGTTTTAATTTAAGTTATAGATTGTAGTCCTGATGAAGGTATTAAATAGGCTGAAAGCTTGATGACAGTTTCTAAGTTTTTCTTGGTTTGCCCCCTACTCGTACAACATATATCTACATATGAGAAGGGGTGAAAAAATAATGCTAGGCATAGTACTTTTTCATTATGGACACGTCATTTGACTTTCTTTGTCGTGCATGACACATACAGGAGGATTTTTTTGTAATATTTTTTTTTTACCATTGCTTTTAGTACTAGGGCACAGTAGGTTTTCTGAGTTTGTGACAGTACTCCCGAACGTTTTCTTGCTCTTCTAAAGCCAATATAAACCGTGAAAAATTAATTGCTTATAAAAAGATTTTTTCATGCCTTGAAATCAATTTTCACTGAAACACTAAAACGGCTTGAGAGGTCGTGTTTTTTAAAGTGGAATGTGGAGATAGGCAAGGTTTATATTCTTGCCTTCCTTCCACCATTTACAGCTTAGAATGCTCTTACTGTCTGAAAAAATTAAATTATTATAAGAGAGGTATTATTTTGCACTAACACTATAAACATATATTTTTTTAACAAATATATCTTCTCTTTTTTTTACAGCTTTTATGATGTTTTGAACCATGCCACGATTCCTCTTCAGGATTGAACAGGTTTTATAAATTATTATAAGCTAATATGCAATCCTTGTTAAGTTCAAAGTCCTAATGCTCTATGATACTTTAAAGAAAGTGAACTGTTCTCACTCTTAAAATGGCCAAATAGTTGAAAACAAACAACAAAATTTGTGAGATTTCTTGTCAAGTTCTGTGGGGTTATGGACCTGTAGTCATTTGGACCTACCTATCCTTGCTGTTTTGGTCTGTCAGAACCAAATGACCACAAATAACTGACCAAAAGCATACAGAGTATTTGAACACAGCCCAGTTTCATAGTCATTAGTTTGCTTATCCCATTCAGGATGATGAGTTTGATTTCTAATAAAAAAAGAACTTATACAACACACTGCTTCTATAAACTTGAATCTAAAAGTGAAGAGAAAAATATCATGATATCGCAATATTTTTCACTCTTCACTTTTAGATTCAAGTTTATCGAAGCAGTGTTGTTTAAGTTATTAATTTATTCCAAGCGAGAGTGGGAAATTTAATAAACGTCAACATTTACCGTTTTAAGCTGCTACTTTGAACTTGTTTAAATGTGAAGTGACTAGAGCGCAATATCACACTCAGTACCTGTGAAGGGCTAGGGATAAGAGCGATATTATGCTTACCGTGCTGAATGGTTGCCACAACCCAAATTTGTTAAAAATATGTTCCAAAGGTTTCTCTTTATGGCTTTCTCTAGGGTGTTCTGTGTTTCTGGGATAAGTTTGGCCCCAGAACTCTAGAAGATGAAGACTTTTCCTCATAGGTCTTTTATAAATGGTTTTACAAGATGCAGATTTGCGATATTAACCGCCTTTTTGGTTGCTTGGTCAGTGGGAGTGGTGAATTATTTGGCCATTTCCGTGTAGCCATCTCAAAAAAATATTACTCCTCTCTGCCGAGGTGCTATTGCAGCTACTATTGCAACACTTCCCCCCCCCCAAAAAAAGGCTTTCTTTTCTTTGTGGGTTAATGGAAGCACCACTTGTGACGTGAATTATATTGAGAGAAATGCTTGCTTGTGCTTCAGAATCTGGGTTTTACCAAAAGAATCTGGTTCTGATATGGTACAGTGTTCAGTTTATCATAACTATATAAAAAATATAAAATATAAACAATGTGTGGTGTTTAGTAACCGTTAGTCAATGATTATTTGGAGATCGTGAGATGCAGCCTGGTGTGTCGTAGGTTTTAGAAAAACATTTTCTTTATCGTGCCAACGTTTCGATCTTTATTGAGATCATCTTCAGGGCCTGGGATTTATAAACATTGTTTAAATTTTTACAAAATACATGTAGGATGTGGAAAAAAATGAATTTATACAATGCTAGGAATGTTAGATTAAATCAATTCAATCATCTTTGAGTGAGTACCAATACTTTGATTGAATCTAAAATTTCTAGCATTGTATAAATTTCTTTTTTTCCATATCCTACATGTATTGTAAAAATTTAAACAATGTTTATAAATCCCAGGCCCTGAAGATGGTCTCTATAATAAAGATCGAAACATTGGCACGATAAAGAAAATGTTTTTCTAAAACCTAGGTCACACCAGACGCCATATCACTATCTCCAAATAATGTAAACAATACACTTTAATTCTTTCAATCCATAGGAAACTGTCTAATTTCATCTATTAATTACATTATCAGTTTATTTTATTTTTGATATTTAATTAACACTGAGAACTGTTCTTTTTGTCTTTCCTTCATGGTTCATGAATTATGTGAATGAAACATTTTTACTTAAATACAAATTTTTGTTTGTTTAAAGGTTTCAAATATACATATTTTTTAAAATTTTATCAATTATTTTAGGATTTACAGAAGGATGCCTTGCATGTGACCGATACGATCGTTCTTGTTGATAGACAGCAAGGAGGTAGTACAAACTTGACGAATAACGACATCAAAATGCATCCCCTGTTAACGCTTTCTAAGGTAAATTTATTTTTTAAATTTCTCCCATTTTTAAATTATCTCTATTTGTGTTGTTTCAGGTAATGGAAATACTGTGTGAACATGGCAAGTTGGATAAGAACACTGTCGATAAGGTGAACACGTATATTTCCGACAATCAAATCTTGCCCAATGGGAGAAAAATGAGTGGTTATTATTAATTAAAATTAATTAGGATTTTATATGAATGTATTATATTGAGTTTTTCACTTAAGCCAAGAACAAAATGACACTGAGTTATAAAGAAAGAGCGTTTGAAACAAAATCGTCGTCTGCTAAAAAGCTCTTTGACCTGATGGAGAGAAAAGAGACAAATCTTTGCGCTGCACTTGATGTCACGAAATCAGCCGATCTTTTAAAGCTAGCAGACATGGTCGGCCCGTACGTTTGCATCGTGAAGACTCATCAAGATTGTATTGAAGACTGGGATTCAAATACAGAAAATTCTTTAAAGCAACTCTCAGAAAAGCATGACTTTTTTATCATGGAAGACAGGTAATGAATAAAATGGATCTGGGTAAAGAATGACTAGCTTGCTAATACTTTTTTTTAAAGTTATTATTATATTATAAATTTTTTTTTAACAAAGAAAGAAAAATATCTTCGCAAAGCTAAAAGTAGAAAAAATGATTTAATAAGGATATCCTCAATTTAGTGCGTATGTTTACTGATAAAGGGTTAGCAAAATTAATTGTCCATCAAGCTTCTCTTAGTGTTTAAACTGATAACATAAAATAAATGAAAATATGACAATTTTTTAATTTTTGAAACATTTTGCATTTAACCTTGCATAATAATACATGATTGGTTTTAGAAAATTTGGTGATATCGGAAATACGGTTAAACTTCAGTGTGAAAAAGTTTTTACTTGGTGTGATTTTGTCACCGTTCATTCGATCGGAGGGCCTGGTGTCCTTGAAGGCGCTTTACAGGCGTCCCAAAATGCTTCTAAGCCAAAAGGGGTATTTTTGGTGGCTGAGCTTAGCTCAAAAGCTAACCTTATACTACCACAGTATACCAAAGGTGTTTCGTCAGTTTTTATTTGAGTTAGTTTCCGCCGATTGAACATTTTCTAACTTTTTGTTTAATTATAGCCACGGTTGCATTGGGTGAAGCCAGGTCTGAATTTGTTATGGGCTTTGTATGCCAGGATTGTCACGTCTTCAACGATCCCGGTTTTATACAATTGACCCCCGGAGTCAGCCCTAAAACAGGTATTTCAGACATGTTAACATCAAAATATTTATCATTTAACTGTTTTTTCCGTCTGAAAGATGGTGATTCACTTGGGCAGCAGTATTGCAAGCCCGAAGATGCTGTTCTCGTCAAAGGTGGTGATGTGATTGTTGTTGGAAGAGCGATTTATCAATCTGAGGATCCGAAGGTAAGAAAGCAATGCATAAATTGGTTAAAATCCATACAATTGAAATGACAAATCGTTTCAGGCAGCAGCAGAAACATTGAAGTGCCAATTGTGGAATGCTTACAAGAATAGATTAGTTACACGTGAATAGATTCCTGGAAAATTAAAAATAATTGTATTGTGTTTTAAAGTGATCATTTAATATTTATGACAAATGTTTTTATATTTTTTGTTGTAAAATATATCATTCCAAGTTTCTACCTGATCAACGGTTTATTCCAAACTCATTTCCAGTTGTTTCTTCTTAAGATCCCTCACCCTACTTAAATTAAATTTTTTCTTCTTCCAAATTTTAACCTTCGTACATCTTTAAAAAAGTATATAAATATTTGTTTTTGTAATTAATTAAATTAATATTTTGAATCACTCTGCTCCCATGATGAAAGTTTTTTTTACCTATATACGAGGGGGTCAGATAATATGGTGTTTGAACATTAATTTGTTCATTTGGCGAATCCAATAGGAAAACGATCTCCCTCGTATAGAAATGGGGGTATATACAGACATGCACATATACATACAGACACAGATTAAAGCTGGACGTCTTACAAGTGAGATAAAAATGATCTCTTGTACTACAGGTATAAATTATAAATTATTACCAGATGTAAGATAATTTTCCAATTAAAGTCTGTCCATTATATTGCATTCCAATCTAGAGCAACAAACATCTACTGAGAAATAGAAAAACAAAGATAAAACTTGGAGTATCTGCCTCGTAAAAGAGAGGTCGCCCTCACCTGATTAAGGATAGGCCGTGTGAGATTGATATATGGATACTTACTTTTGGGCCAAAGCCAAGTTGATAAAGGTTTCTTGATGTGTCACTTAATTGAAGGGTGCCATTCCTTTGCTCCAAATAGTGTGTAGGAATGTCACCTGATATGAGAATTGTGCTTGAACACAGCAAGTATGTGAGTCCCCTGTTCCTATTTTAGAGGAATCAGGACTATAGCACTCATGGTACTCCATAGATAAATTGTTTTGTGTTTCTTTATATTGAGACAGCAGCAATGTGTTGTGTAAGTGGGCTGATGGCGGAATATCAAGGACTCGACCATCCTGAGTGAATAGTATGTATTGAAAAGTGAATAAGAGTGTGATGGGTCTGGATTGACTGAAATGACCAAGCTGTCGATAACCCCTAGAGCCCAATCTTGGTGGGGCCGGTTGGATAAGCATGATGTCTGACCCCGATCTGCTAACACCAGAGTGGGCGATTCTCAAGTCCTGCTAGCGATTTGTTGTAAATTACATAAAAGCTGGAATTGCCATCGAGAAGTGATCGGCTCATATGCCTCTCAGATTTGAAAGGTACACTAGGTTGGTTTGTTACCCTTCTCTTTCAACAACTATCTTATTTTTCAAGACTACACAACCATGCCCTACCTATGCAACAACAGGTTGACACAGTACACTTAGATTTTGCCAAGGAATTTGATAAAGTTGATCATTGTCTCCTTATCCGAAAATTCAACATTCTTGGAATACATATTCTCTTCTCAACTGGTTTCTCCTATTTGCATGATGTATATAAAATTGTGAAACAATCTAGTAACTTCTAAAAGAATAACAGTCTTGTTTGGTGTACCTCAGAGGTCATTACTCAGCCCGTTTCTTGTCAAAGTATTTATCAATGATATTACTTCTTGTTTTTACTTGGTTAATTTCTCCCTCTTTGCTGATGACCTGAATGTCTACATTGTGTCGAATATCTCTTGTACAGAAAATGTTACCAAAAAAGCAGAAAATACTATTTTAGTATAGTTTTAAACATTCATTGCTTTTTTAAAGTATTTGTTTTCTGGATACTAATAGCCTGTACAATAATGAAATAAATTAGAATATATCAAAGTATTTTTCACACTGAAAATGATGGCGCAATCAGATTTTAAATAGGTCAAAGAATAACCAAATTATGGCACAGAATATAAAAAGAAATATCTTAATTTCATTTATAATATTAAGTTTTATTATTAATAAATGGTTCCTGATCAAAACTGTAGACATGGAAATATGGAGTATGCTGCTCTTAGGATGGGTTCGGGGTAATTCCTCCTTTATCTAAAAGGTGCAAGGGTACAATTCCTTTTTAATTATTTGTACGTTATTAATACGGATTTTAAGCTTTCTTTTACTATAGGTTTTTATTTTATATTACATCAAGTGTATTTCATGTAGTTATATGCAGTTACCAGGTGTAAAGAAACTTTCAAGAGAAACAAATTCATTTGCTTTTTGGTGCCAGTGTTTTGCGAGTTTCGTGTGATGATGAAATTACCGGTGAGCTATGAGAAGTGATAGGCTCAACAATGTACACAGTGTGAATGCATGTGCTTACATAAATCAGTAATTAGTAAAAATCAAGTATGTTTGGAAGGAATGATGTAGTTTGTTTAATGAGGAAAAATGGTAGGAAAATGAAAAACAAATTTATATTTGTAGGTAACTTTAATGAGATGCACAACTTTTAAACATGACTAAGACTTTTTAAGTTGCTAATTATAAACTTCATAATATATATATAAGACTGAAACATTTGTTCTTTTTATACATGGTCCCAGTCATCATAAAACAAATATAAAACAGCTAAAACAATAATAAACTTAACACAACAGGAACGTTACAGTAATTAATTATATCACAACAAATAGTTTATAGGTAAAACAAAAACAAATTTTTCATTATTAGAAAAATATTTTAAGAAATTCAAGTTTTTACAATTTTCAGTCAGTGTTCATTTTTTTTCTTTCAAGCCAAATTGACAGTACAATTTTATAATTCTTAACATTTAAAAAAAGAAAAGAACACCCAAAGCTCCATAAAAATAAAACAATTTTTAGTACGAGAAGTTAATTTACAACAAGATACAATTTTTAATAAATACCAATACAACTGGTAATCTAGACATATAAATAACATGAGATTAAAGTAATCTTAAAAAGGTTTAATTAAATGTGTTTTGATACTAAATAACAAGCCGAGTGTTATTTTATTTACCTTATACTAAGATAGTAAATTTGTCTTTAGATTACAATCAATATCACTCAGAAACATCAGGCACAATATGGCAAAAAATTATTGCACTAAAAATATATAATTTTACACAAAAACAAAGACAAAAATGGTCATAGTGTGTTCTTAATAGTATTTATTAAAATATAGGCTGGTAATTTTTCATTTTTTTGGTTTAGTAATAGTTTATCATATAACATTTAGTAGGTTCATAATTAAATAATAATATAATAATTATATTAATTACAATGCAATACTGTGTAAAAAAGGCTATATTTACAAAACAATAATTGGTAATTTCAAGAAAGGCACATAAAGTATATTTTTGGTAAAATTAATCATCTAACAGAGGGAAAAAAAGTGGGGAGTAAAGGTATAAACTATACTTCAACTAATTAACTGGAGGTTCATTCTCCCTTCATTCCAATTTATTTTAATTGATCAAAAAAATCCCTCAGAATATTATTATTTAAAAGTAGATTTAGCCCATCGAACAATTTGATTTAAACCATAAATTTTAAATCAGATCATTGAGCTTGTGTGGTTATGCCTGAATATTAGGCAAGTGCTAGGGGCTGGAACTGGATTTCTATTAAATACATTAAAAGTGTGACATTTGGTTAATATTACGTCGCTTAAACCAGATCTGTATTGAAGCTACATATAAATGTTTAAGATTTTTTTTTTTAGAAATATGTTGAGATTTATAACACAAAAGGAAAACAAATGTGTTTACTATCAACACTTTAATGGATATGTCAAAAAAATTAATTAATTTAAAAAATTAAGCAACCAAAGAAACATTCAAGAATATAACGTTTTATATTTTTCCAATAAATAAATAATTTCTTGAAAATATGTTGTCATATGCAACAATCCAAAATAGTTAAAAATATAAATATTAGCTTCAATCCCTCCAATTATCGCGGCTTGCCTATTCTTGTAGGTTTTGTCTTTCAAGAACCATATGAAAGAGACAAAACTAACAAAATACACATAGACCAATCACTGACAAAAATGCTGACGTCTGACAAAGCCAGCGAAGACAAGCAGACTATGATGATTGGAGGACGATCAAGCTACAGATTCATCACTTCACAATGGTTGACAAACATCAAAATTTACATATTGGTTAACAATAAAATGTTATTCCAAATATCAAGTAATCATTCTTGCTCTGATGACAACACATTTAAAACCTTTTAATTAATTGTACCTTTTAAATGAAAAAAAAAAAAAATTAGATCAATTGAGTATATCACAATGTTAAATTAATATTGATTGCAAATTCTCCACAAAAATGCACAACAATAATTAAATTAAATATATAATAAAAAGTTAAATATGTGACTAGATGCATGACTATGGTAGTGTTAAGGAAAGTTTGGTGTTGCAAGTAATACCTGCTAAACGAATCCTCTTGGTCTGATGGGCAAGTAGATGTTTGCGAAGGTGGTCTTTTCTGTAGAATGCCTTGCCACACTCAAGACAGATGTGGGGTTTTAAACCTGAATGTGTGAGAAGGTGCCGGGCTAAGTGTTCATTGCGTTTGAACGTCTTACGGCAAGTGGTACATGCATGGGGCCTATCTTCAGTATGCGCCAATTGATGGCGCTCCAGATGCTCACGCCTTGCATGTCCAGTACCGCAAACTCCACATACGAACCTTCGTTCCATCTGGCAACAGAACAACACATATCTTTCTCAAATACTCTTTTGGAGGTAACTTGCAACTTACAGCTCTGGCGAGTTTGTGCGTGAAAACAAAAAACACGCTCAATTTGTGGTTACATTTCTTAAAAGAGTACAGTAAATTAACAATTTAAAATTAGTAGATGATACTACCAATGAATAAAATTCAATCTATTTAACTCAATTAATCCACACACACACATGTATATACATATCTGTGAACCGTTTAAACAAATGAATAGAAATTCACAAAAACTTTTAACTGACTAAAATTGAAAATTAATAATTAAGACAGATTTTTTGCAATATCACATGCAGTGTAACCACACATCCAGCACAAATTTGTCAGAACAGTAAAGCCGATTATGTTGAGACATGCATTGTTTACTGTAGCCTAGGATGCAATAGCTGCTCGTCTCAATTTCTTGCTCAAATGACCCTGAGCATGTTTACGAAGGTGATCTTTCCTATAAAATGCTTTCCCGCATTCACTACACACCTGCGCCTTTTCCCCAGAGTGGATGATGTAGTGCCTAGCAAGATGTTCGTTCCTCTTGAAAGTCTTTGGACAAGCGGCACAAGAGTAAGGACGTTCATCACTGTGCGAAAGTTGATGTCGGTCCAAGTGCTCCTTCCGTTTAAGACCAGCACCACAAACGCCACAGACAAACCTACGTTCGATCTTATGCGAGGCGAGATGAGGCTCAAGAAGGTTTTTGTCTGGGTATGCCATATGACATTCCGGACAGCAGTATAAGCGTGAGCCGTCTGGGGAAATAACTATTCTCACGTCTCCAAGTTTCCGTTTTGTCTCACTTGGTGTCGATAGCTGGAAAAATCAATATTTGGAATAATCAAACTGGAAAGAGAGGAAACTGTTAAGGCACGTGCAAAACTTAAATTGGATTCAAAAAGTTTGAGAATCTTGTGTTCACAAAGAAGCAATTTTATTTATTACTATTCAACAGTGTGCATTCTTATAATGTGAAACAATAAAATTTTGTTTAATTCTATTTATTTTATGACAATCAAACAGCACATATTTAAAGCTGAAGACAAGTGAAGGATAAGTCAGTAAAAAGTGAGGTTGTATATTATCTAAATATTTGAAGTATTTTCCCAATAACACTTAAGAAAGAAAATAAAGGCCAAACTAGAAAAACTGTGGCTTGGTAAGGTGTGGAAAAAGGTGGTTTTAGGTTTTATTCAGGCAATAATCAATAAAATGTGAACACCGATAAAGGACATTTTAAAATTGTTACATTTCTATCATTGACCATTCTTGAATAATTAAATAATCCAAAACACAACCAAAGTATACGACAATGCATGTAAAGCAAATTTAAAATAAGACCCAAATAAAAAATTAAATTTTTTTAAAACTATCTTAGCAGCTCTGTTAAAATATCAATGACTCCATCGAACAAAATGCTATACCAACATCAATCTATAAGTTATGGGAAGTAGAACAAAAAAATATTTACAAAACAAAAAATTACACCAATGGACAAAATTGACACTTTCACTTTTAAAAGTTTTATAAAACACTTACACTGTAGAAACAATATTTACTATTTAATCCTGTTTAACACACTGTATTTTAATTTTTTCCGACTTTTTTCAGATGTCCTCAAGAAAATATTGTATGGTTTTGCAGGTGGGATGTTCTGAAATTTCCTTTGATAATGAGAAACATCGACTAGTATTTTTTTCCCCCTACATTGGCAATTCTTCCTAACTTTAATCCTCACAAGCCACCATCAAGAAGTTGAGTCCTTACTGTGCCAGTCAGGCCAGATAGGCGAGCATAGATCATTTGTACCTATGTCAGTGGTTCTTTTTAATCACTGATAAGTGCATTCACTGACTACAGGTGGGAAGTCGAGTGATTAAAATCTGAGTTCTTTTGGTACTGAAGCGACTTGTAAGGCATTGTATTATTGCAGGGTAGTAACACCCTAGCTTCTTGCATCCTGACAGTGCGAATAAATAAATCTGTAGCAATAAATAAATATGTAGTATGTTTTTGTATATATTTCCAAATTTTAAGATGGTGTGTTACTTTTGATTATCTTACACTATATCAAAGGGGTAGGGTACTCATGAGGTCAATGAGAGTTTCTTTCTGGCTTTTCAAATACTACAGGGTGATGCATTTTTCTTAATTTTCAAATTAAAGTTAATTTCTTAGTAAACACTGAATAGTATTTAATCATGATGTATTAATAAATTAATCAAAGAAAAAAAATTTCTTTATTTAAATAAATAAATAAAGCTAAAAAAATCCTCTGATGAGAAATAAAATGTATTATGTTTGAACTTGGAAGTCAAATGTGGTGACTACGAATTTTTATTCATTCAAGTATTGAACACCTCATTTGACTTTATTTTTCACAGCACAAGCTTTCTTTTACATTTAGGAAAGTATCGTCAATTTAAATAATATGGTTAGATATTTTACAGAAGTCTGAAGTGCTATAGAAAGTGTACACATTTGAGAATAACTATTATAAATCTATAATAGAAAATTAGCACTAATAAAATAACAAACAAAGACTTTTTGTTTCATTGAAAACTTTGAACCATGATAAAGGCTTTCACAGCAGTTCTGTAAAATGATATTGGTCAACTGTCAAATTTGACTTCACAAACTTCATTGTGAAGTACAAAAATTAACAGCAATAAGTATGTGTACCAAAAAATTAAAATTAGACGGCAAGCTAATAACATTAAGTGTGGAAATTTTTACTCCAACACGATTATTCGAAAATTTAACTATAGAAGTAGAATAATGTTGCATTTGGCTGGCAAGTCTGGCTCTCTTTCATAGACGGTGGATAATTAAAGCCAAGTGTTTCACGGCATAAAATGTTTTATTATAATGGACATTTCGGGCTCATTGGCCCATCCTCAACAACCATGATAAATCAACATACATAATTATCAGAAATAAAAATGTACAAAATTTGCAAATCTAGATTCAAATTTTCCACTTCTTGTATATCTTCTCAATACAAAATCTGCTTGCTTGAAATTCTTCATATTTGTCTACCTTTTCTTCACTGACATTAACTACCCTTGCTTCTTCTATACTTTTTTGCTATACTTTATGGGAAAATATTCTGTTCCTTCAATTTCCTAAAAAGCTTATGTTCGACATTAAAACTATATTCAGTTTGTGACAAATAAATGGTTCTTTCTCTTATACATAGTGTATAGTTTGAGTAAAATTATTCCGAATTTTATAAGGTGTGTTAATTTTGTCCATCACACTACATACTAAAGAAAAGGAGGCTTATTTTACAGATTTTTTGCCAAATAAAAGGAGGATCTTTTTATACAATTGTTTTATTAAACAAGCCAGTGAAATAAGTACACCTGCCATCGGACTATGCAAAAGACCTTTCTTACCATAGCTCACAGAATATCCAAGATTCAGTTTGCCCGTGAACATGTAGATGTTTAAACAACTGGGACTTGCATCCTTGCAGAGAATTGATTCAAAATTGTATAAGGTTTGCTAATTTTCCCCAATTTTATGCTATATAATAACGTAAACGAGGTATCTTTCACTGATATTCCCCTTCGATAAAAGGTAATAACTTCACTGGCCAATTAGTGAGTATTACCAATGTTAAGCTTATTTATGGGGCGTTGGTGGCTGCAACGGTTAAGGCGTTGATACAGTGCTCATCACTGTAAAGTAAAGGTCCTGGGTTCGAGTCCAGTGGCCTTGCATTCGAACCTAACATACTTACAAATGAGCTTTTTTTTGAAAAAACACCGATAATACCGAGGGTTGATAAGACCACTGCTGTTGTGGACCCTTGTTAAAAAAACAAAAAAACAATAATAATAAAATAAAATAAATAAATAAAAAAAACCTATTTATGTACCATGGTTTAAATAATCCTTGGATAATTGTATATTAACATAAAATTTAAAAAAAAAAGTACTAGGCGAATGCATTAAAATGGTTCTCACATTAACAAACCTTAAGGTACTGTAGGGTATAAAAGCAGCAATTTTATTAAATAAAAGCCAATAAAAAAAAAATATATATATAGCATGCAAAGTAGGGAATGCAGTAGTATATAACACAATAAGTCTGTTCTATAATAAGCAGATTTACAAAGTGGAATGCATTTAAAATTTAATACAGCAAGTAGTAAGATTATATTGGATAGTTTTGCTTTGAAAAGAAGTGATATATGGTACGCACCTTCAAAAATTGCCTAAGGCTTGTAAGATATTCGGCGACCTTGGTATTGGGATTGTTGGCAGCGGGATTTTGCCAGGTGGCCGACTGTAAACTTTCTTCAGAATCTGTCATCGTCGAGGCGTCGACCATAATTTTCACTGGCCTCGGATTAGACTGTGGCAGAGGGAGAGGAAGAGCGGCTCCTGTCGTCTGCTGGGCCTGCTGCAACTGAGGCTGCTGCTGCTGGGCTTTGGTGTAGCACTGCTGGCAATTCTTCGGCCCTTGGTTGCAATGCCTGAAGTGGTCCGCACTGGTCGTCGGATCCTCATAACCCCTGCCGTTCTTCTGGTGGTCTTTTAAGTTCTGGTGCTGCTGCTCGCTGGTTCTGTTGCTGTTCAAAAAAGAGTGGATGTGGTTCTGATACTGATTGCCGTCTTCTTGGTTGACGCTCAGGCCCGGGATGACGACCGCGTTCAGGACGTTCAGACCCGTCGAAGGGAAACGGGCGAAGGTTTGCAAGGATGTGCACTGGTTTCGATGAAGCTGATGCTGGTGTAATGTCGCTCTGTATTCTCCAGGATGGCTCTGGTTCATATTATTTGCTTTGTTTTCATTAAAAATGCCAATTTTATTGTGATAACGAACGGCAGTAACCTTTTGCGTTTATCCGCAATTTATCGGCTTTCTCCTACTCAGGCAAACGTTGAACGTCGACCTTTCCCTCATGTTCGGCCAATTAGCGATACATAATTTGAATTATAAAGAACTTTACGTTCTGTTAAAAGACACATCTTAAATATAAATAAATGACTCAAAACTGGACTCTGCCCCCTTGATTTTAAGCCTAGTTTAATTATTTATTTTAATTAATGTCCCACTTAGCACCCGTCAAAAGGGGGACGACATTCATAAATTGGAGGTATAATAAATAACTGTTAATGAATTAGATGAAAGGCCAAAAAATTTCATACTGATTTATCGCACTTTTAACCTGTCCGGTCCTTCTATCTGCTGGCGAAATGTATAGAATACCTACAAGAGGGAAATTTGAATCTTCCAGATTTTCTGCTAAAGAACCTCTATGCGTTTCTATAGAAAACCAAGACGTGACAACCTTTTGAGTCGAGAACCTGAGTGGAGATTTGATATACCAAGTTTATAATCCACATAATATAATTAAACGTAAAAAATAAACGACTGGCTTAACATGTTACATCTAAAGTATGTTTTAAGTGACTGTCAGTAGTACATACACAGTATGTACCGAAGAAGATCAAAATTGTTTGACATTCTCTTGATTTCTAATCCTTTCTGATCTATTATTAATGATATGATCTAATGCTATTAATGGATAATCATGAATCATACAAAACTATAAGGAGTCAGTGATGTCCTAGGTAGAGAGTATAGTGATTGATGATTAAACGCTACTGTTCAAATAGTAAAGATTTACCAGGATGATCAAGGACCAAACATGATGAGTACCATCAATCAGTGATTTGATATGATAGGAGTTTAGTGATTAATAAGGGCCCTTTATTGTTGAAATGATAACAGATCTACCAGAATTATCAAAGATAAACATGATTAGTACCATCAATCAGTGATTTGCGAATATACTAAATTTAATGATTGATAACACTTTTCTATTGAAATCATACAGATATACAAGCATGGTCAGGGATCAAACATTATAAGTGCCATCAATCAGTGATTTACAAAGATAATGAGTTTAGAGATTGATCACTTAACTTTACTGTTCAAATGATAACAGATCTACCAGGATGATCAGGGACCAAACATGATGAGGACCACCAATTAGTGATTTACTAAGATAAGAAGTTTAGTGATTGATAACTTAACTGTACAGTTCAAATGATATCTGATCTACCAGGATGATCAGGGACCAAACATAATCAGTACCATCAATCACTGATTCGCTAAGATAAGGAGTTTAGTGATTTATAACTGAACTGTACAGTTCAAATGATAACAGACGTACCGGGTAGTCAGGGACCAAACATGACGAGTACAATCAATCATTGATTTGCTAAGATAAGGAGTTTAGTGATTAATAAGTGCACTTTATTGTTGAAATGATAACAGATCTACCAGAATGATGGTACATGATGAGTACCATCAATCAATGATTTACAAAGGTACTGATTTAAAGATTGATAAGTACACTTTATTGTTCAAATGATAAAAGATCACCAGGTTGATCAGGGATCAAACATGATGAGTCCCATCAATCAGTAATTCACAAAGATACTGAGTTATGTGATTGATAACTAATCTTTACTGTTCAAATGATAATATATCTACCAGGATAACCAGGGACCAAACATGATGAGCACCATCAATCTGTGGTATAAAAGAAAAGTGTAGTGATCATCATAAATTGTATACCCAAGGAAGATCGGACATATAGATACTTAACCAAATATAAAGTACTGGGTAAGTGGAGATGTGTTGGGTTGGCTTGTGAGTTGGAAATCTTCCGGCTTTTTGACAGTTTCTGATATACTGCCATCAGTTTTTACACCTAAATTCCGTTTGTATAGGTTGTGAGTATAAATTTCGACATAAGAAGATAGAAACAATACTGCATAAGTAATGAATTTTTAGTGGTCACGGTTAACTGAAGTTGTTCAAACGATTACAGATTTGCTAGGATAGTCTGGGATCAAATATTTGCAAATTCACTGAGAGTTAAAAACTAACAAAATGATATTTTTTAAATAAATTACAATCTTTCTTAAGGTAGTTTTCCTTTATCCAGAAAAAATAGTAGTACAAGTTACATTAGTCAAAAATGAAATTTAGTAATAGGCTAGGTAAAAAGGAAAAAGTAACTACAATTTTCGACCAATTCAGAATGGAATGTTTCCTTCTTTTGCGTTAATGACAGCTGGCATTCGACGCTGCATAAATTTTTTAACGTTTCTGGTACCCTGAGGCACATTTCACGCTCTTTCAGCCTCTTGGTTTTTCATTTTTAATTCCTCGCAAATTGTCTACAATCTGCGGTCAGTTTTATCCTATTTGAAAACATGTCCCAATGTTTAAGTCGAAACTATATGTTGGAAATGGAATTCAAGAATCCCTGCATTGTCACGAATTAAAATAACATCTCCAACAAAAGGAACAACCGGTTCTGATGATGCACCTCGTGTTCTGTGAAGGTCAATTAGGTGGCAGGTGCGAGCATCCATACCGATCCCGGTTGAAACCGACTTCCAACTTCTACGTGTAGTGAATCTCAGCCAACCGATGTCTTCGGATTTTGGGTAGACTCACCGAAAAATAAAATTTAAGACCACGATTGACATGGTGCAAAATTTAACCAAGCCTCGTTCTGAAGTTCTGGGACGGCGTCAGGTCTTCCTTGCATCAAAACAGTGTACAGGCTTAATGTTTCCAATCTTTTTTAATAACCTCACCTTCGACATTACGGATGAAATTCATTCTGGAGTATTCACTGGTTTTTTTCATAACCATTAAAATCTTGCCTATAGTCGTTTTGGGAATGTTGAGCATCTTGCCCACATCTGGTTGACTTCGACCATCTGCTATTAACGCTTCGCTGTAGAAAAGCAATGAAACTCAAGACCAATCAAAGTACTGGGTTTTGTCTCTTTAAAAAAATATTCAGTCCTAAGATGAGGATGATTTTTATTCTTATTATTCACGGCACGGATACGATTGTGCCTACCTCGTTTTGGTAAAAATTAATTTTGATAATTTATTTTAGCAACAGGCGCGAGTCTAGACTCAACGATATTTCCATAGCCGGTTCTTTAGTTTTCCCCCTTTTTACTTGGCGTGCGATCGATACGTCTGTCTCATTTCATTACTCCCTAAATTTTTTATTATGTTAAGCTCGTCTGAAAATTTTTGATTGATTTCCAATGAATCTGTCCTATTTTCGGATTAAGGTGATTGTACATTTTATCGTACTCGAAATTCTCTCAACTGGAACAATTCATTAAGAGGGTAAGAAACACCATGGCCGTGCTCTCGGTCAAATTTTTATAGCTCGGCTAATTGCAATGGATCTACTGAATTATTTATTTAGGACGTCCACTGAAGATAATACGCTTTACACTTTACGAATTTATAGAATTGACTACAGTGCTGGGAAAGCAGATAGAAAAGGTCCGAAGAGCAAGCGAAATGGCCCAAATATCTCGGGTTTGAACCGTTCTTTTTAAAAAGTCAATTGTGCAAAACGTGTCATACAGGAAACGAAAAGGGAGTAGCCATCCTGTTTATTTCAGATCATAAACTCAATCGACATTGTTATTAGCTTTTCACTTGGCTGGGCCGAGCCCAGTATCTTTCTTTCATAAGGTAATTCTATAAGAGAATAGTTATTGTCACTGGATTGTGTGTCAACGGACAACTACTGCTTTTGTGGCTTAGAAATTGCAATATTTACCTTTACAATCGTGCGTATATGATTACTGCATTCTCACTGAAAGGATGTTTCCTGAAATCTGACAAAGCTCGACGTGTGAAAGATGGCTAGAAGTTCTACTTAAGAAGCAAGCCAAACAACAGAAATGTCCAAACGATATACTCAAAATCGAATAACAAAAGTAAAAACAGAAAATTTTCGCATGATTAAAAACATCCTTAGCCTTAAAGAACATATTTTACTCAAGTGTATGGAAATCAAGGACAGCACTATTCGATGGTTTACGGGGCTCATACGTGATCAATCTCAAAGAAAGATAAAAAAAGAAAATCAAACAATAGTAAACCGCACAAGACTTGGGATTTGGTAACCGCAAGACGGGTAAAACGTAACTGGGTCATGCCATATCGGATTCCAGCAAGATCGAACTGTAGCGAAGAATGTTGGAAGGTAGATAGAAAATTACGAATAAAAATGTTTGTAAATCCCAGGCCCTGAAGATGATCTCAATAAAGATCGAAACGTTGGCACGATAAAGAAAATGTTTTTCTGAAACCTACATCACACCAGACCGCATCTCACGATTTCTGAATAATTACAAATAAACTTAAAGAAACTTTGCTGAAAGTGAATTATTAATGATGTCAGTTTCTAGAGTTGAATCAATTACACCATACATTATCTATACTCTAGATGCTTAAGTCTAATACTGTTATGGTATATTATAAAGCTACATAGACGAATCTGTACAAAATATCTATCATTCTATATACTAAAACTATTAAGCCTTGGAAATTGCCCAAAACTTAAAAAAAAAAACATCATGCCTTACATGGGCAATGCATAAAAGTCTACTGCCACAATGGATGCACCACTCGGATTGGCGTTCATATGACGGCATTGACTCTTGGGTAACGATGAAGCAATGTTGGTTCTTAGATCCTTAGTCGGTCGTCATAAAATCATGGAAAGTATAAAATTAAACGAGATGACTACAAAGGTCACAAGTGGTGCACGCAAATGAAATCTGTTATCGGTGCTAAGAAATACTCATACGTATGATATAACCATGGATGTTCAGTTATCTTGTCTAACTATAACAGTAAGTTTAATGCTTGGAAAAGGTAATACATCTCTTTAAGTAAGTGATGATGTGGAATGCAGTCCAACAACCCTTCTTTTTTACATTGTCTTTTCACATTTTGTGAAAACAAAAGACTAAAGATGATATGATGACGCTAAACTAAGGCCTCAATTCAATGGGAAACAAATCCAGGACAGGGGAAAAAGTTTATTTTTCAGTATTAGAAGTATCTACCATTTTTTCAATTACGAACACTCTGGATCAAGGCATGGTCTTGAAGAAAAAATCAAATTCAGTTGTTACTGCCAAGCTTTCGAATATTTTAAGGTCATCATTAGGGAAAACAATCTTAAATATTGACATATTTAAGCTTTTTACAGACGATCTCAAAAAAGTTCAATAAAAGACCATCGCAGAAACTAACTGCAGCACTACTTAAACTAGGGCGGATAACCAAGTATTGATGGATGT